ACGATTGCGCCTGCTCGTCCCGCACTTCCCCTTCCGCTGTCAGGCCCGCATTCGGGTCGACCATGGCAACCACAGCTCAGGACGTGTCAGCTCAGCAGAGGTGTGCAACCATGCCAGCTCGTCTACGGTTTGTCGAGGCGCACGTCGTGGGCGGATAGTCTCATGTCGCGCTGGGCTGGGCGGCGGCGGCGGCGGCGGCGGCGGCGGCAGTGTCACAGCGAGGACAATGGCGTGGGTGCACTGTTACTGTGAATCGACGTTGGGGTGAAGATGGTGGCAGTGGGCCAGTGGTGGGCTCAACGGCTCGATATGGATTTGGTTGAGAGACACGATCGGCTCACTTGCGCTTTTCCCTCTGGGGCAGTGATGGGCGGGATAGTCAAGAGTATTTTGGGCCCCATAGATGACGCTCTGAAGCGGGAGAGACACGCCGGGGCGCGCAGCAAAAGGTGGAGACGCTATGTATCGCGCAGAGCATAGGCGAAGACGCAGATACAGGCCGTCACGGCTAACAGCGACGCGCTGCACGGCAAGAGGGCAATGGGGACGGCGACCAAACGTCTCAATGCGCCCGGTGGACCGACTTCTTGTTGAGCGAGCCACGAGCGATATGGGCAATTTTTTGTCTTGGGGGATCTGCCACTCGACGGCAGCGAGAGTATCACCTACATGGTGCTAGCATGCAGGTGACAAGAACGGGTATGGCTGCATGCACTAGTCCCTCACTGGCGAGCCCGGGCCCTTGCTCTGCCCTCAACAACAGGTGGCGTTCGACTGTCGGAGGGGTGTGGTTCGTTTGCAGCGTGCCCATCCAAACTCCCTCTGCGCAGCGCCATCAGCATGTGCCTGTGTCCTGATCCCAGCTGTGCGCGCGCATGCGTCGCCTCTGCCGCCTCCGGTTGCGTCGGCACCCGTCACTTGGGCTCATGCAGCAGCCATTAGATGAGGAAGCGCGATAAGCACCCTGGAGAAACTCTAAATCCCTCCCTGCAACTTCTGCCATCATAGCACATGGCTCCTGACGGACCCTCTCTAGCACAAGCCTTTCCCCAGATTTACCCTCGCTGAGCGTCAGGTACTCGCTTTGCTTCTTCGTTCCCGCCCTCGATATGGCTGCCATGTCCCATCTTACGCTATCTCTGCGTCACTGGCGCGCTGACGAGCCATTGGCGCGCCCCGTATCGTCATTGTTGGGCCGGCACACACGACTGCCACAGCCATCGTACCACGACTACCCAAGGGGGGGCAAACTGACGGCTGGCAACCATCCCATCCAGCGTCCCTCGCGCCCTCGCGCCCTGCTCCTCGCCCATGCCACGATGGCGCTCCAGACCGCCTGCAGTCACCGGTAGATTATCAATCGTGACCTATCGTGAGATTGACCGGCCTCGTACGTGCACAGTCGCACAGCGGTGCATGCTGCAAAGGGCCAGCGCAGATGAAGCCGAGTCTAGGCGCCGCCCGTCTCCTCAGCAATCATCGTGAAAGTCCTAATCCGGTAAGGCACGCAGCATCAATTTTCTGCACCTGGGCACGCTTGAGCTTGGATGCATGACAAACGTGACTGCCTGTGCAGCGCGCCAAGGAGCTAGATCACCGGCTTCGCATCCTCACCTCTGCTGCGAATCTCATCTCACTCTGCTCGCCAACCATTGCCCCGGCCTTCCGCTTGTGCTCGTTGTTTCTTGCTCTATTACCCAATGCCGACCCGCACCAACGCTGCGAGGGACACGAATCCGAGCGGGACTGATGCTCCACCACGAGCTCCGTCCAACAGCTATCGTGACTCGACGCTAGGCGTCTTCGCTCTGCTGCTTGCTTTCCGCATCGTCAACGCACTAACCCTGCGCTCCTTTTTCCAGCCCGACGAGTTCTTCCAGTCCCTTGAGCCTGCATGGCAGCTGGCTTTTGGCCCCGCCAGTAATGCCTGGATCACCTGGGTAAATCCACTTGAAAGTGCTCCATGATCCCCAGTCCGCTCACCATGGCCAGGAATGGAGATCCCAATTGCGGTCGTCCCTGCATCCAGCGCTATTCGCTGCCGTCTATCGAGTCGCGGCACATGTTGCTGACCTCTGTGGCTTGGGCTTGCCTGCTAAAGCCGAACTACTCCTAGCTGCCCCGAAAGTTACCCAAGCCGTCTCTGCAGCCTTGCTCGATTGCTACACATGGAAACTTGCGGAAAAAGTCTACGGTCGTGGCAGTCGCACTGCCCTTACTACTGTACGCGACTATCCCGCAAATTTAATACAGCAATCTCTGATAATTGATCCCACCTACTTCTAGCTTGCATTGTCTGTCTGCAGCCCGTGGCAGTGGTTCTGCGCGACACGAACACTATCCAACTGTCTTGAGACTACTATCACGTCTGTCGCTATTTACTATTGGCCTTGGCAGGGTGCAGCAACCGCTAGCAAGGGTCGGACGCATATTGCACACTACAACCTCGGCTCCCTCTCAGAGTAAGTCGTGGAATCAGAACACCCTTTGTCTGCTCCGCCACCACTTTAGGCTCATGCTCCTGCAGGTTGCGTCTGTCACTGCTGTTGGCAGCGCTCGCGTGTATTCTCCGGCCCACCAATGCACTCATCTGGCTGTCCGTATCCGTCCCAGCTCTATGGCAAGCCTCACATCGGCTGCGCTATGTGTTGGTCCGTGAGATCCTGATTTGCGGGTAAGCCTTCCCTCTCCTTGCATCCGCTGCACGTTTTTCGTCCCCATAGTGCAAGGCTCCATTGCCGGGCTTTGCGTTCTCTGCAGACTACCGTGCCCCGAGGTCACCAGACCATATTCCGACTGACGATGCTAGCCCCGCCGTCCTGGTATTGTCAGTCGCGACCGATCGGCTCTATTACAGGGTCTGGACTCTTCCGCCGCTTAGATTTCTCTATTTCAACATCGCTCAGTCGTTAGCCGTCTTCTACGGGAGGAACCGCGGCGACTACTATTTGACCGAAGGTTTGCCGTTGCTCCTCACGACATCGTTGCCATTTGCCGTCGTTGGCTTGTGGCAGTCGTTGAAGGGCCTAGGGCCACGTAGCCCAACCAAAGGCGACAGCCCGGGTAATACAGCAGCTTCAGGAGAAGATACTGCGGGCAGTCAGATACGAAGCCGTCTGTCATGGACGGTGATCGTCATGACTGCTACGCTGAGTTTGATATCGCACAAGGAAGTTCGCTTTCTGTATCCGATCCTACCCTTCCTTCACATCATCTCCGCCGGGCCGCTCAGCAAGTTTCTGCCTCCCCGCGCCGCGCTATCGCACAAAGCAATTGTCCTCTTTTTGTTTGCTGTAAACATCCTACTTGCCGGCTATGCTTCTCAAGTTCACCAGCGTGGGGTCATCGACGTACTCACCTACCTCCGCCATAAACATGAAACGCGCAACAGCCTATCACGCTTTCATAGCAGTAGCGATGGTAACATGCCTGTTGTGACCAATACGACAGTCGGCTTCCTCATGCCTTGCCACTCCACCCCCTGGCGCTCCCACCTCATCTACCCTGAAGTCTCCGCATGGGCTTTGACGTGCGAGCCACCCATCGACATACCCCTCTCACAGCGCTCAACCTATCTTGACGAGGCGGATGAGTTCTACATCAAACCCGGTCCTGTAGCTTGGCTTCGGGCTAATATGGAAGATGTACAGACGATCAAGGCGAGTGGAAGTAGATCTGGTCAGCATTGGATGCGCCAGGATCCAAAATTCAAACGCAAGTACCGGCGTGAGTGGCCGCAAAACCTTGTTTTCTTTGAGCAGTTGGAAGGGACGCTGAAGAAATATCTCGAGGGCACTAGGTACCAGGAGTGTTGGAGAAGTTTCAACAGCCACTTCCATGATGATTCGAGGAGGACCGGTGATGTGGTTGTTTGGTGCTTAGATGGCGTGTGAGGCGCATCTCAGAGTGTACTCTTCTTGTATACACTGTAGCAAAACAACTCTAGTAGTAACATTATCTGGGAATCATCGGGACAATATGACCTCTTATGACTGCTGCTTTACATACCACGCCAAATGTCATTCCATCTGACTTTCGCCCTCAATATACTCGGGCCAACTATTCGCGCCATCCAATTGTCTTCATCTTATCTCTTCTTCCCCGCTGTGCCCAGAACCCGTGTCGCGAGGGTTCGTGACAACGAAACACGCCCAGTAGTAAAACACCGAGCAGCAACTCTCCCATCGAAAATTTGCGTATACGGCCCAGACATATGCGGAAACTCGAAATCTACACCACAAGGTTCACACTCTTCACAAATAATACAGTCAACATCCTGTCTAGCGTACAAGATGGTGACCTCATCGACCCTGCAGATCCACAAACCACCAGCACTGCCCTGGATCCCAGCATAGCGGACACCCGTTCCTGTACCTGACGATGGTTTGCCACAGATGCACATGTAGGTCTAGAACATCATGATCGTCAGGGCGACGAAGAGGGGGTGCCTGGGCTAGACAAGTGTTCTGGTTGAAAAGAAGCATTGTGATGATCAGCGTGGCTAGGCGGGGACCCGACCTGACCCTTGGACGGAGGAAAGGGAAAAAGGAAGACCACTGGGCATATCATCTCGTTGGTACCGAGATCGTATCTGGGAAAAGCAAATTCCACAGGGAAACTTCCTGCACCTCATACAAAAGGAAAATGCTGAAGAGGCCTGCAGACTACACTCAAGACAAGATAAGCGAGCTAGAAAGCTTTGTAGTAACACAGGCTCCATGGTGTTCAGCTTTTTTTTCCCTGGTTGAGGTAGGTGATTGGGTGCAGGCTTCACGGTGGCAGAAATATCGATCAGGAGTCTGGATTCAGTGACTGTACCTCTCGTATGAGACACACTGTTTTCTTGCAGTATAACATAGGGAATAGGTTCCTGATGAATCGGTGTTCTTTGTCGGCAGTTGCCCCCTTCTTCCGATAACAACAGGAACGAGTAATGTTCAAAAGCAACAAACCCACCCAATGCACAATGAAAGAAAACACATCTCGCTTGGAGATAGAGAAGCCTTCTTCTAGGCCCCAATTAAGAATATTTTGAGTTCAACGCCATAATCCCAATGCCCATTGTTAATGATATGCTTCTTGAGCCTGGAACGCCGCGCTGAAACCTCAACTGAGCCGGCAAATAATCCGGCAAGCCCAAATGCTCCTTTTCAAACGCCGGAGAATGTAATATGACCCAAGGAAAAATATCAAGCCAAAGCGACTGCCTTTGCGCTGGCGCTTGAGCTGACTGAAGCCGGGGGTGTGGGTGGTGCAATCTCGATTGCAGGCGCAACCCAACCCTCCTGGCGAGCAATCCACATGACCAAGTTGAGGTCAAAATTCTCGAAGAAGACTTCATCGAGGAAGCGAGCTTTTGCGCCGGCGTAGGTGTGGTATTCCTCGCGAACCGTCTCTGGGTCGACACCGAGGATCCTCCGGAAGCAGGCGATAGTGCATCCTGTGCGGTGCTTGCCCTTGTTGCAGTGGACGAGGATCGGGTGGTTGGTACGGTCCATGATAAGGCGCAGGGCTCGTGACATTTCGCACGATTCGACGCGAACTTCGCCTTTGTTGGCCTTGACGTGAACGTGGAAGTGCTGTATACCAGCCTCCTTCATGAAGTCTTGGTACTCGGGCGAGAGTGGCTCCGGAACCAGGGTTAGGATGGTCTTGATTCCGACTTGCTTGAGGTATTCGTAGTTCTCCTCCTTTGGATAGCTGCTACGATAGACGCATCCTGGGAGAACTGTGCCGTAGTTTGACGGAGGGGTAAGTGACTGCAGGCGTTCGGGTGCCGAACGGATGGAGACGGCCGGTGTGAGAGTGCCGTAAGACTCGGCTGTGCAGGTGATGGAGCACTGGTGACCCTGAGGGTCTACGACAACCTTGAGATCCTCGTGCGTGGTCTCGCCAGCGTGCCGAATGAGCCCATCGCTTGCGGAGAGTCCAAGAGAGGCGACGAACTCCCTAATCCTTTCGAATACGCTTTCCTGAGCGTTCTGATCCTGGCTGGCGGACGTCGCGGAGTCTCCGTTTGACGAAGACATGTTGAAGCGCTGCGAAGCTTCGGGTTCAAGTATGAAGGAGGGTGTCAAAGGTATAGGTGTAAGCCCAGCTTGTGTTGTATTCGGACGATTTGTCCTATACCCTTCACAGCGCGGATATCTGGATACGGAGGCGCTCGGTGGTGGGTTTTGTAGAGTGTCCTCGTGTGCGAGGGTTTGGAATGAGATCGAAGGATGCTCGAAGACTAGAGACACGGGGGCAGAAGCCGACGCGGGCAGCCTGTATTCTATTAGTCAAATGCTTGCACGTTAAGAGGCCAGCTTCAAAGTCGCGAACTATGGGTTGTTGCCGCTGTCACCTACGGACCCGGCGGTAGTGTCGAGCGCGCGGCGAATGGAAGGGCATGCATTGAAAATGGGAGTTTACACAGCGAAGGTGACAGTGCAGCTTCCAGGGCTGCATCAAAGAGTGAAACTTACTTCGCTGTTACCGGCTGGTTACAGGACACATCTTGCGAGCGTCTTGCGGTGATGCGAAGAGGCGTTGATGTTCATTGTGTGACTGAGAGGTAGAGTGTGCTGTGGGCGGAGTGGTGTGCGCAGTAGACGGATAATTGTGTGTTGAACATTCGGGGCGGTAGCGAAGGGTATCAGCCGTAGTTCGCGGGGAGTGAGAAGTAGTGTGATTATAATGAAGGCTGGTGTTGTGGAAGAAATCGGGCGGGTCGCCCTAGCGCGCCTTTCACTGGTCCGAGCCAGATGCGTCGGAATCAATCCGCTGGCTTGGTCCGCCGGTTCCAGGGTCCGCCAAGCGCCGTACGTCACTTGCCGCACCTTCCCAACGGTACTTTGACTATGCAGGAACGCAGGGCACGTAATTCATCGAAAGGGCTCAGTTGGCTGTGTGCTAGTTCAGTCTCCTTTGAACCAGCAAACAGCGCGCGGCCCCCGCACTTGTCCTGTCATGCTTTGCCAGATGACGGCAAGCACAAGGCAAGCGCCAGTAGCACCTGGGCAAGCTTCGCTAAATTCGCTTCTGTTCCAAGGCGAACCGCCCCGCCGCATAGCTCCGACCTGGACGGCGCGTCTCAACACCGTCTTCGCTCCCGCGCTTCAGCAACAAGCTTGACACTTCCAGCGCCGTTGACCTCGTCATCGCTCCACTCGCAACCTGCGGAGCGGTGGGTCTTCATTGCTTGGGTGAACCACAATGTGTTCGCCAGAATCGCGCGGAAGAATCGGCACAGAAGAGACGCCAATAACACAGTAAGCGCATCAAAGCATTACTGTAGACGGCAAGTGCCAGTAGGCGAAGCTTAAGGGGCAATGTTCTCAGAGCAGGCCGACTATCCGAACAAAACGATATCATACTTCGCCTTTGCCCAGCTCCCATGCCATCATCAAGACAATACTCGTAGCCGTCAATCCCGAGTTCTCTTGCTATCCAAGTCCTGTGGCCACTTCCTCGAAATCGCGACCAAGTAGCCTCAGGGCCTGGACGCTCTATGAAACTTGGCACAAAGTATCCCGAATCTCTATGACGATTCCGCGACATTCCGTAGACATTGGCGTCTTCGAAGGGGTCAATTGCAGATCGTGGTCTGAGGTCGCAGCATGATATCAAGAAATTCTTCCAGTTGAATATTTCGAAATTGCATCTCACCACTTTCACGTGAAAACTCTCGTGATCGTCCGCTAACCATGAATGGCGAAGCTTTCCTTCCCCAGAGTCCGTGCGTCTGACCTGCTGGACCTCGGTCACTCCACCAAACAGGAAGCATCGTGACATTTCTCCCATCCTCAGCGCAATCCAGTGGCCCTACGGTTTGCGATTGAGCATCATGGAGCCTCCACGCTCGACTTCCCGATCGCGTCGCTCCTACCCGAACCTCCCGAACCTCTCCATAGCCCCACTCAGCGCCAAGTACCCTCTCGATGCATCCGTACCACCTTCGCCCGACGAGCAAGGCACGCGCACCCCTCGGACGTCGTACATCGCGCAAAAGTCGGCGCCTACAACTCCAGGGGTTCTAAGCCTCAGCCAGAGCCGCAGCAGCTCGCGGCAGCGCCCGAAGAAAGCATACGCATACGACAGCTACTTCGTCAACCCCCGTGCCGAAGTTCGCGATGTCGGAGACATCCCAAAAGCAAAGAGTACCAGTGTTCTGCATCCCGGCGTCAGCTTTGCCGACGAAGTGCTCAGAGTAGATGATGGAACTAGGAGACATCATACAAGAAAAGGCACAGCGCCTCTACCTCTGCACTCACCACTCGTAAAGCATCACACCAAAGAGTCAAATGAAGAGTGGCTGCACCGCGCTGGCTTGGCAATCGCTGGCGAGACGAGGGATAGCAAGGGTCAAGGTTGGCTCGTGAGACGAGAGAGCTCCACCAGTCTAGTCGGACAAGGTGACGAATACGAGAAACACTCTTTACGTGAGGATAGGCCCATGGCTCTACTATCCGGCGAACATGTCGGTGATGCGGAATTTCCTGTGTTCTTCTCACCGCGCATGTCCAGGGTGGGGAGTCGCATCCCCAGTCGCGTAGGCTCCCGCGTACCTAGCGCACGGCAGAGTCGACGGGGTAGCAGAGTAGGTAGTCGGGCCGATCTCATGATGTCTGCCGGATCGAAACCGCAGTCAGGAAGAGCCAGCTTCGAGATCTCTGAGCTAGATGAACGCTTCATTGAGCCTGACTTCATCGAAGCAGACGAAGAAAGCGATGGCGATGAGGAAGAAGTCGCTCGCTTGGCGCGCGAACGCGGGTTCGGGCTTGGAGGTTGGATGGATCGCCTTATCGGATGGACACTGTTCTCTGTTGACGAGGACAGAGAAGCGTCCGATGAGGATGATGCGGAAGATGATAGGAGCTTGCGACTAGACAATCTTACAACGGAGGAGCTGAAATTACGCCGCGAAGTCGAAGCCAAGCGACGGAAGCTCGAACGAGAAGCCATCATCGCTGCGTCTGCTCTGCGGAGACAAGAAGGTGATGCGACGACTACAGATACAGAGAGCCGCCCAACAACCGGGGACTCGCAACGCACGACGGCCAATGAAGAGGTCGGCGGTTGGCAAGATGCCGCGTGGCTACTGAGCGTTGCTTCGAAAGCTTTGTTCTGATCACAGTAATTATCACAACAGTGAACAATTATACCCAAAACTACTGAATTCAGTAGTTATATCAGCGATTCCTCCATAGTTGGTACTTGCTGCTACAATGGAATAGTTTACAGCGCTAGCGAGGTTGTCCGCTCAGCGCTTGTATCTTCGGCGCTCAGTACTTTTCAAATACTTCTTGACTTTCCCCATATCGCTGACTTCTACTGCATCCTCAATCCCAGATCTACCTCACCTTGCCCTTCCGACATACTAGGCGGTCTATCTTCCTTCTTCGTACCCCAATCACTTTCCGTATCTCCCAGCACAAGCTCGAGCGTCCACCCTTGCGTGAAAAACTCGTGTCCAATCCAGTTCTTCGTATATACCTCGCCATTCAGCTTAGCGCTCTGGATATAGATATTCTTGTACTCCTTGTCGAAATTGGTGTTACGAATAGTGGCAGTAGCATTCGTGAGCTTATTAGCTATGGAAACTGTAGGGAAGAAAGGCGGAATGATAAAATAGACGTTTTGGCCCGGGTTCGGGAATAAGCCGAGCATGCTGAAGAGTGCAAAAGACGCCATGCTCCCCGAATCGTCATTGCCTGGAAGGCCGCCGGGTGTAGCGTTGAACCGTGACGGAATGTCTACATGTGGTGTCAGCAAACACATCCAAACTGGATACTTCTTTGGTGTCTAGTGCGGCAAGACTTACAGTAATGTGCCCTCTCTGCACTCAATCCAGGTCTTCCTGCAAAATGAGATAGATACACTGTAAGGAAGACTGGCTCGTTTCCTATGTCCGCTAGGCCGCTAGTGTGGAAGAAATCCAACCTGCGCACAAACGTCTCATCGCCTCCAAGCAGCTCGATGAGTCTCCCAATATCATGCGGGACAAAGAATATGTATTCCCATACACTACTCTCGAATGTCTCGGACGGATTCGACGTCAGTGAACAAAAGTCAGTCAACGGACTGCAGGCGATGGGGTCTTGGTAGCCCCACGTTCCATTTAGATTCTTGGGTTGGAAGAAGCCCGTAAAGCCAGTATCTGTACCGTTGATTGAGGAGGTCTGGTCAGATTTGAAGAGGTTCCGCCAGTTTGTTGCGCGAGAGAAGTACTTTTCAGTCGTGTTTTTACCGAGGCCTTTTGCAAGAGTAGCGAGGTTGAAGTCATTGTACGCGTATTCCAGAGATCGCGATATACTTCTTGAGTTTGTACCGAAGCCGTAAGGGTCAAAGTCAGACACCGGGATGTAATTAAGGGATTTCCAACTCGTCAAGCCGCCACGTCCCTCTTGACTCCATTCCAATGGCTCGTTCTCAGCGTCATTGACGATAGCTTCGTAGGCGAGTTCCCAGTCTATGTCTGTGATGTTTTTGACGTACGCATCGACCAAGACGTTATCGGCGTTGGAACCGCCCTGTGTCCAGCCTTTGCAGGTGCTCATCATGCAGTCTGGCAGCCATCCACGGTGCTTGTACGTATCAAGAATACTTCGCACTAGACTGGACACTGTAGAAGGCTCCAATACAGTGAGGAAAGGTAGTTGGACACGCCACATATCCCAGAGACAGTAGAAACTGTCGAAGTATGGTTCGTCGCTCTGCCAGTGCGGGTTCTCACCCGTGTAGTTCTGAGGAGATATCATCGTACGATAAACAGCGCTCCAGAAGCTGGTCTGTATGCTCTGGTCCACTTCTCCAGTTTCGATAGTAATCGGAGCGAATTTCTCACGCCATGCTTCCTCGGCCGACGTGACAAGTCCGTCAAAGTCGAAGGTGGGCCCCGGAATTTCCCTCTCAGCATTTTGACAGGCCTGATCAGTGCTGATGAAGCTCAATCCCATCCGTGCTAGCACCGGTCCTGAGAGTGGGCTATTCAATCGGATGAATCCGCCAGCTTGCACGTAGAACAAGTTGAAGCCGCGCGTCACGTAAAGCTGTTTTGGCTGCTCACCAGCTCTGTCGTTGACCCATACTCCAGAGTCTTTGACAGTCCCTCCGGAAACATCGAGGCAAAAGTATGCCACATATGAACCCGCGCCAAAGCTTGGTAGAAAAGTGGCATTCCCTTTCATTCTGCCCGATTGTTGGCCGGCATCGGCCTCGATGGTGATAGAAGCATTTTGTCGACTCGCCCATAAATCTGTCAGATCAAGCATGATGAGAGGATCGTTGCTTCCATTTCCATTAGATGCTGTGGAGAAGTCGAAGCGAAAGAGCGCAGCATGTTCTGAAACGGCCATATCAGCATGTATGCCGTTTTCCAGTGTTACTCCAAAGTAGCCGGGTCGTGCTTCGATTGATTCGTTTTGGTAAGGAGTTGCGCGTGCTGCGATTGGAAATTTGCACGTGTTGATATCATCGCCTGAGCACAGCTGCGGAAAGATGGGGAAGTTGCCTAAGCTTGGATTTCCTCCTGTTCCAGAGTCATGCAAAGCCGAGAAGCCGGTGATGTTGCTGCCGTCCGTGGAAAATCCCCCGGTATTCGCACCATCTACATCCGCAACGGCTATAAGGTTTTAGCAGTAAGCTACCAATGTTGCGCTTCTGTAGCCGACCTTTTGCCATGCCAAATGGCAGTGTCGCACCTGCGAAGACATTCCCGCCGTCTCTGCTACCGATTAATGGGTCGACCCATTGTAAAGGATCGAAGTCGGCGGTTTGCTTCGCCAGTATTCCTGTTGTCGACAGCGCTGCAAGCTGTGTGAGTGTCCAGGCACAACGAAGTAGTGTTTTCATCTCGAGATCCAGGCTCAACCCTCTTGCTCGTGAATTTGTGCCAAAATTATCGAGACGCGTATCACTGCGAGTGATTAGATTGGTCGTTTCGTAGACAGGCTGATGGCACGTGTAATCACGTCTACGATTCAAGGTGGGAAGGAGTGGCCACTCAGCGAACGCAACTCAAGCAAGAACGATCGTTCAAATGTGACAGTAGCGACTTTCTTAAGTCATTTCAAGTACCACATGGTGAGTTTACTTGCGTCGGGGTGATCGCAGCTCAACACTGTCCTAGTGGGGTTTATTGCGGGGTAAAGCAACCGACCGTCTGGTACTGCAACCCTAACTGCATCGTAGCATCTAACAATCAGTGCCGATGCCTTCGAAGCGCAAGCGGCAGGACATGAAGTTGAAGCTCTGAGTCCACGTTCAGCCTTGCACAGCGATCTCGCCGTAGCGTCTCGTCTTATCGCAGGCCAAGATCGCGCCCAGTCCTGCCTACCCCACAACCCGCTTCTTGTGCTGGTGTGGAACATGTGGCCCTGCCGCAAAACCTTATGCAGTGGTACGGAAAGCGCGAAGGGATTCCGGTGGCCATGCATCGAACCGAGGCCATTGTCCCGAAATGGAACCACCGACAGAGAGAAGATCGTCCCGATCGATATGCCCTGTGCAGCACTTACGCAGTGCCGGGTGTCCAACGAAGTTTAGATGCTTACTATGGGCTGTTCTGTTCGATGATTGGCATGGATCCCCACGATCGGAGTGCTGGCTTCGCACGGGTACACGACCCGGCCAGTCGGAGATCTCATGGGAAGAACAGGCGCACGTGTGCCTTCCATCAAGACTGAATATCCTCATTTCCTTTTCCCATGAGAGCTCTAAGCCCATAAACCATGCACCCTCAAGAATGAAGAACAGTTTGGAGCCTAATCTCAACCATCTTTCCGCTCCAGATTTCTGCCACGTATGATTGGCACCCTCTCGGATTGGTCCTGCAATACGGCGATGTCGTGGCCATCATCCACGTTTGCTATGAGGGTGACGTGAGTTTGCGCAGTCTCCCATCCAGTAAAGACGAGCGCCTCGTAAGTTCCCGGTGCATCGCATCGCCAGCCGTGTGCGACTCTGAACGTGTGATTGCCTCGGCGCTGTTGCGTATAGCTTGTGACAGCCCTTTCAAGATACTCGACGCACTCTTCCTTGAAACGAAGTCTCTCCATTGCCAATACGGGTGCCTCTAAAGGAAGCAAATGCATACCATCTAGTTCCACATGGACAGTCCAACAAAATTGAAGCATATCTTCTTGGGGGCCGAGAACCTCGTCCCGCGCTGGAGATTCTAGGAACTTCAAGTGTGCTTCCAAATTTGGCCATATGCCCAAAATATAGATCAATTTGGGGTCCTCGATGCAGTTGTAAAACCGTGAGCTTGTATGCAGTTTCTCTCGCACAGCTGACAGGTTCTCAAGTAATGCTGGATCGTCGGCGGCAACATTCCTGAGACGCAATTGTGTTATTTCGAGAACCGCCATGCTTCACCAGGATTGTGAAGAACGCAGAGCTCGTGTCGTGGACTAGAATAGTACTGTAGAGAGGATGTGTGAAGAGCACAGTGGTGACGATGGACGGGGGGAACCTGGAACACGGCCGGACGGTCACTGGGGTGGGTTAGCGTCTTGGCATTCCACCCCTACGACGTGCAGCGATTGAGATTTAGGCCAGTCAGCGGCTGCTTCGACACTCTCGCTGCCTGAACATCATCTGTGCCTGGTACGCCTTGCAGGCTTGAGACGGTAATGTTACGCGAAATCCCCTAGCCTCGGTCGATCGAATGGATCCTATTGGTGTCTGCGGAAACTTCGCATGACCTCGCAGTCCGCCCATCGACCACCGTGGCCACGATGTTACATCACAGCATTATCTGAAATAGTTGCATGCAAGTACGACTATTATTAAAGAGCTCTCTGGTATATGGGCTCTTGGTGAGTCAAAGGCGACGCCATGTGCACTTCTGCGCCCTTCTAGCAACCCACCTTCTGGACGCCGCCAGTGTCACGGCAACCTATCGGCGCACATCTTCCTCTTGGCGATGCTTGTCGCTATCTCGTAATGCAAAAATAGCCTGTCAAACAGCTGCAGGCAACAGTAAAAGCTAGACGTCCCATGCTATCGTTGGTTCGTGATACAGCGACGTCATTGCGACAGAGCCGGCATCACCGGAATGTGCTTGGGATCATCTCGAGGAAGGTGTCTCACGATTTTGATTTGGACTCGCAAAGTAGGCCTGAAGCGGTTGCGAGGCATAGATGCTCTGCCGGTTGATGCATATCAGCAGCACAGCCCTCAGAACCACCAGGCGCCATCCAACGGTATGGCTGCATACCGGTGAGCTGGCTAGTAACCAAAGACATCTAGAGCTTCACCATGCTAAACCATTTTGGGGACTTTGACTATCAGGGCCCTAGGCGAAACCGCAATCCTATTAGTTGGGCCGTTTGTTTTACAGTATAGTGCTGTAAGCCCGCCACGGTTCAGCCGTAAACCTGGCGTCCCCTGATTAACGGACCACCCACACCCGCGGGGTCGCTTCATGCTCCCGCTCTAAGCCCCTAAACTTTGCACTCCACATCTTTAGAGACATTAGATACCGCATACAGCAGAGTATATATCTCCACAGGGGAAGCGAACCCGCGGATCGCAGAATCCTTCTCGTACTTCTAGTATCAATGTCGTCTCCACAGGACCACGGTACTGTAGTCGAAAGCTCTTCGAGTGACTCACCGACTTTGTCGGATAGTGGAATTGGGAGTGCGCCAACGATGCCTCGCAGACCTATTCCAAGGAAAGGACACACCAAATCCCGCCGCGGTTGTTTCAACTGCAAAAAAAGGTACTCTAACGATGTTCAGGCGTTTGTATTACTCATACATATTCTAATACTAGCACAGAAGAATCAAATGTAACGAGAGGCATCCCGAGTGCAACCATTGTACCAAGGCGGGATTGCAGTGCGAGTATCCAGCAAATATCATTCAAGCAATGCACCGTTTTCCTACTGCACCACACCCTCAGGAGGGAGGCAATCTGGGATCGACGCCAGGCGTCTTTGTAAGTGTAATCCAAACGTACTTTGAATCGTATAGCAACTTACGATCATAGTCCATGGCAGACATGCGTTTATTTCATCATTTTCTCATCACTGCCTACCCGCATCTCCCAGTGGGAGCCGACAAGATCTGGATTACGGCGATTCCCGGCTTTGCACATAATGTATGTTATTTTCCATCAGAGCCCTGAAGACATGAAAGAAGCTTCATCGGATATACTCAACCGTAAAGAAGGGTGCTAACTACGTAAGTACGAGTACCTTATGCATTCCATCTTGGCGCTGGCTGCGTCACACCTGGATGCTGTAACGCATTCGGGTGTTGCAGAACAAGCCATACAGCACCGAATCCTCGCTGTCAAATCGCTTAATGATGCGCTCTCAGTACCCCCAACGACCGCCTGCGAGCGAGATGCAAGATTGGCCGCGGCTTTAGTACTTGCTTTCCAATCAAGTCACCTGCAAGATGGCATGGCAGAATTCATGACAATGGTCCGTGGGTGCAACCTGATCGCAGGTAACAATATGATGTTCATCGCCGACTCAGTCTTCAACGTATGTACAGCGATCGCACGAAATTGAACGATCACGCTGACCCCTTCTAGGCGTTCTGCGCGGATTCCCACCTCGAGAGAATGCAGAAGCGTATCGGAACATCGAGGGTGAGCTGCTTCAACCGCGATGATCTCGACATGGCATCATTATCCCTCGACCTTGTTCAGACCTTGAACATGTCCGACTGGGAGCGGTCATACTGTGAGTTGCTAGTATGCACAATCACCCATGCGTATGACCGCCCACCAGAGACATACCAAACCTTCGTTATGCTCTACAACACACCTTCCAAGTGGACTCATGATGAGTTCCAAGCCTTCATCGATCCCAACAACAGTGTTGCGCAGATTCTGTTGGCTCATTTCATCGCGGTTCAAGCTGTCCTTACACCAATTCTCTACCTCGAGAGAGTGGGCTTTGAGGGCGTGCATGCCCCTACTGCCGTGCTGGGCTGGATCGAAGGAATATACTGGAACATACCGTGTCGCATGAGGCATCACGTTGATTGGCCCAGACAAGTATCGCGGTATCCTTTTACGCGATTCATGGGACAGGAGGAGGTAGAATATTGCGACGTAGATCCCCTTCTGGTGTAAATTTGTCGGCGGGTTACACTTTGAGTGGTCTCTTTTCGTTACTCGTTGTCGAGCCTGTGAACCATTTATGCATTACGACCTTCATGTACTACTAAGATACCCGCAATCGCTTTGTAGCTTCTACTCGCAATTCATTTGACTTTGTCACAATTTCACATCCTTATTGAACATGAAAACATTGTTGTTAACATGAGATAGGTATCCCACCTATTGTCTAGCATAGTTCCGGCCCCCACAATCCCTCGCAAAACTTCCACATCGACTCCTCCTTCCCTCAAACCTTTCTACAAAAGTCACAAATATCTCTTTCCTCCCCCCTTGTATGTTCATGATATACGCTCTGCTCATGCATCTCAGTAACCGTATAACCGATGCATACCCTCGCATAATTGTGCATCACGGCCTTCCAAAAGTCGGCTGGGACCTGGTCCACGGTCTCATTCTGTAATGGCATACTATGGTTCTCGTTGTAGACGCCCTCTGGTCTATATTTGTTGCAGTAATAGTCCATGAGTAGACGCCTCAAGCGGTCTGAGGCATCAGTGTATCGGTGAAGCTTTGTGTATGCGATAACGACGGTCGGGTAGTATGGTGTTATTCCTGTCACAAACGCCTTGTCGACAAACGCGTTGCCGATAACTTCTTCGAACACGGGTATCCAGCATCGACCTGCAAAGTTCAAGCATCGAGCTATGAGCAGGCAATCCCATTGGGAGGGTCGTGGTAGGTTTTGCGTGTACATCCAGTCGACAAAGATGTCAAAGACTTCGGACTCTACGTTCTTGAGACATACTGGAGCAGCGGCCGTGAGTCCTAGCGAAAGTGAAGTGGAGTAGTCCGAGAGATAGGCGGAGTGCAGGAGGTATGGCCTTTGTTCGGCGCCGATCTTGACGAAGATGGTACCCTGAATGCCTTGGCGTGCGATGTGACTATAGCCCAAGTTAATCAGTCGTTCTTAGCTGCAGATATGGGAGTCTCGTTACCTCATCTGAGGCGGCTATATAGGCGTCTCTGCAGTATGCCTCGGGGACTGTAACTATGGCGGTTGATTGGCCGAGGCCATGACGACGATCTCGTGACTTGTACTAGGCAAAAGGTCAGGATGCAGGACTTCTAGTCGATGCAAAGAGCAAGGGAATGGAATGTTGATTGATTGTCATAAAATATACGTGCGTTCACTGCGCAATAATTTTGGACGATTGGCTCACCAAGGAATCTTGGGCTCGGGACCATATTATGAGAAGTTCGGCCAATAGGACAGCTGTGGTTTGTAGTCGCAAGTAATACAGTAGTACACAACATTATTTTATAAGACCCCTCGAAGCGTTTGTATATTTAATCTCACGATACTGTTGCTGCGTAGTTCTCAAAAGGATGTATGTAGTGCAGTATACGAGGCCTGTGTGTTGTACCTCGATCGAAATCGGATCCCGTCTGACATCGCACCCATCTGGTATGATGACAAATCACGCAGACATACTTCCAAACCATTTTCTCATCAAGCTCTTCCTCCCCTTCTTCAACTCGTCAACCTCCTCTTCCACTACGACGGCCTCCTCCAGCCTGCCCACCCACTTTGCAGGCCCTCTCTCCCGGACAGCTCTCTCCTGTGCTCTGAGCCAGTAGTCCTGTTCCATGTTACGATCGTTACAGGCGTTGGTATACCACTCATGCCACTCCTGATGATCCCAGCCGCACCTGCTTCCCCACTTCTCTTTGACCTTGTTCGCAAAGCCTTCGACCTCCGTCTGCGCGCAGGCCGAGCAAAGAGTCTCTTGCGGCAGAAACGAGGTACCGGGAAACGGTGTGCGGTAGTAGATGTAATGGTTGGAGTACGGTGTGTAGTAGGCCTTGCAGTGTGAAGACGTGCAAGGACGGAGTGTGTATCGCCAATCCCATACTTCTTCTTGGACCCCAGGTTTGGCTCTTTCATCGCTGCTTTTCTGGTTTAGGGGCACCGGAGGGGCGCCCAACACTCTTTGCTTGTGCTCCCGTACTAGCGCAGCATCTTTGCTTCTGCGATCACGGCGAAAGCCCTCTTTGAATATCTCGAACTCTGCGGCTATGACATTAAGGGTCTTACGCCCGGCACTCTGGCGTAACGTCTCGTATGCATGCTTGCATGCTGTATTGGCCTCCTTCAACTCTTGGCTAGCATGGCGCGGGCAATAGCCGTGAAGACGAGCCAAGTCGTATGGGCCCTGGGGGAGGTAGTAGTTCGATCCTGTGTGGGCAGGTGTGTAATGCAAGGTGCATGAGGGATACAAGCAAGGTATATAATGATCGAGGGGGTTGTATCGGCCTGGTGGAGGACTACAGGGTGGCGACGGTTCCATGGCTGCTGGGGTGGATTGCGTGGACATACGTGAGTTGGCGGACAAGATGGACTGGTAGGAAACTACTCGGGATCTCGGGCTTAGAGTTGGGGGTTTATAATGAGCCGGTAATGGTATTCCAGTCCATCTCGTGTCCGATTCTTGGGGTAAAGTTGACTTGATCGTGAGGCTGCTCACCCGCTTCCTCATGACTTTGAAAGATCCACTTCGAGACAACGGGAGAGAGTCAGGACGTTGAAAATTTGGCGACTTTGGTGTTCCCCATGCTTGAAAGTTATCGATCTGATCCATCAAGGTTGCGGTCGGACTGGTAAATGATGGTATGTGATGGTATTGGGCCTTCTTCGAAGAGTTTGCTATTTTGTTGATCAGGGGTTCCGGTAGCTGTATAGTTTTTGGTCTTGCTCTCGGCCAGGTCTTTGACTTGGCTAACGGATCTGGTTCTGCGAAGCGTACCGCAGGTGGGGAAGACCTCCTGCTAGATGCCATGGTCACCGCGTCGGATGATTTCAGGCTAGGCTTCAGGCTCGATCGTTGAGGCCTCGGTGGCGTAGACGATGATGTTGTATTGGACTGGTCACTGAAGGATGACTGAGAAGAACGCGGCGTCGAACTGCCACTGGAAGCCGTATCGGCGAAAGGCATATTAGGAGGCATTAGTTTGGTTGTTGTTGAAGTACCGGTAGTGACTGTTGGGGAGCGACTTGTGGAAGTGCTGGTCAGAGGAAAATGGCTGACTATCGAGTTATGTGTACCCTTTGATTGCTGCGTCGGTCGCATAGTGTTGGTCCCTGGATGTAGAACCTGAGACATGGCGGGCGGGGATGATGCCGGAAAATTGCCGAATCCAGCCTGGCTTCCAGGGCTCATCGATGAAACGAAAGGAGATCTAACGGACGTGCGTGGTCCAGCAGGAAAACGGCCGCCTCTGAACTGGCCAGAGAAAAAGGTGGATTGATGATGCGGACAGGTGCTGAGGACTCAACCAAAAAGCAAACTTGAGGACGAGTGCCGACCAAGCCAAGGACAGTGCAGCCTGCGTGAAGGCACTTGCATCATCTAAAAGTACTCTGGACATCGGAAAGCAAGAAAGAGTAAGAGGCACAGCACATGGGGGCGGAAAGGCTTTGTGGATCCGGGCTCGTTGCCCACACTGAGATACGCCGCACAACGCATCGCCCCTAAAGTACCGAATACTCCCTAGCCGTGGCAACTTCTTGCAGAGCCAGGCCAGGATTTGTTTGTCGAAGTTTCTCAGGCTGTTGGATTCGAAAATTTATGCGTAAGGTCTGCAGCGTGAAGAGGCGCAGTCCAGTGCCAGTCAGCCTCGCGAACACGAAATCGCAATGTGATTGGCACCGTCAAACGTAGACCAGCCCCCGCATGGTCGGAGGTAGCTTTGATAAAAATTACAAATTTCACGTGAGTCAGTAGGAGGCTAACGAGGTGTAGGAGACACTTGGCGTTGCGCTATGCAATCTATCCGTACGACAGGCTGTCGCACATGTATGGTACATCTAGTCCGAGACTCTGCCGATCGCCCCCAAATGGTGACAAAGTATTGTACAGGGCCGTCTGTCACCGAGCTGGTGACCCGACTACAGCTTAGGTTTGGGTTGTTCTTGCTTGAGCATAGCTTCGGCAACAAGACGTCGCTGGATCTTTCCTGTTGCAGTCTTCGGCCTATAAGTGCGCAGTCAGTGTATGATTCATCTGTAATGTTATCGTTCACATACATGATATCGGTGAAGAAAATCTGCAATTTGTTAGGCTATGTTTCAAATCTGTACGTTTGATTGGGTATTGACATACCTTTTTGGGCAGCTTGAACTTAGCAACGCGATCCGTCAGCCACGTCTTCAGCTCTCCCGCAGTCAGGGCATGGCCCTCTTTGACCACGATCGCAAGACCAACGTCTTGGCCGTACATCTCATCTTCAATCGCGAAACTGACAGCTTCAGATACTGCGGGATTCTGCGCAATTACGTTGTCAAGCTCAATAGGGCTGATCTTTTCACCACCCTTGTTGATGAGCTCCTTGATGCGGCCGGTAATGATAACATATCCCTCAGCATCTTGCTTGCCCTGGTCTCCAGTGCGGAAGAAGCCATCCTGCGTGAAGGATGAGGCATTAGCAGCTGGGTTGTTGAGATATCCCTTGGTAACGTTTTCACCACGAATGCAGATCTCAGCTTCTTTCCCTTGCGGCACCTCTTTACCAGCTTCGTCGAGGATCTTGACTTCGACACCCTGACCGAGCCCCACACTGCCAGGCTTACGCTGGTTTGGGGGGAGGGGATTACTGGTCATCTGATGGGCCGCCTCAGTCATGGCGTATGCCTCCAACACCGGAGCACCGAAAGCCTTTTCGAGTTCGTGGAACGTTTTGGGCGAGAGTGGACTGGAGCACGATCGGATGAAGCGGATGTTGGGCATGGGGCTTGGAAGAGGACTCTTGAGCAAGATCTGATGAATCGTCGGAACAGCCGTGTACCAGTTTGCCTTGTGCTCATTGAAGTCTTTCCAGAAGTCCGAGGCAGAGAACTTGGGCGGCACAATGACTGAGCCTCCTGAAGCCAGTGGCGCGAGGAAGCCAGCAAGCAGGCCGTGAACGTGGAAGAGAGGCATAACCAGCATGGTACGATCCTTGAGCGTCAGCTCGTAGGTTGCTTGAATGTTCTTCATCGTCCGTAACAAGTTGCGGTGCGTCAGAGGCACAGCCTTGGGGCGTCCAGTGGTGCCACTCGTGTGCAGCACGAGAGCAACATCGTCTGGCTGCGCAGACTGGACGGGCGCGGTTTTGCCCGCAAGCTTTCCAGCCTCTTTGACGTCCAGGACGACCTCGCGGCCATTGTAGTAGCATTCTGCGATGGCGGCATTGTACTTCCGTGCTGCGCGGACAGCTGCCGCATCTTGCGCAAACGCACCCTTTGGTACCAAGGCAATTGCTGAGCTCAGGTCGTCGATATAGAATTCGAATTCAGACTGTTTGTACGCTGGGTTGAGGGGCGCTGCGATAGCCCTCTGCCACGAGGCAGCGATGAAAGACACGATGAACTCGTACGTGTTTGGCAGCGCGATGGACACAGCGGCCTCGGCAGAAACGCCGACCTTTGCCAGCTGTTGTTGGAAAGCCTTGACATCCGCGGCAAGTTTTTTGTACGAGACGGTCAGGGCAGGGCTACCGGGCACGATGACAGCGGTCGAAGTCGAGTCCTTGGAGAAGGCGTGTTCCAGAGTGGTTGGGGCCATGACGGTGGATTACTAGATAGGGGATCTGATGGTCGCGATTAGAAGAACGCTGCGATGCGTGGGCTCCTGGGCAATGGTACCTTTATGCTTCTATGACGCGCAATGAAATCTACAATTGATAAGAAATACCAGAGCCTGCTCAGAGATATTCGGAGATGTGGAAATGACTTATCACGGATAAGGACTTGGATGACAGCATGGTAACAGGCGTTCCTGCATGCCCGCGCAATGCGGCTAAGCCTTAGCGTCGAGGGCGCGCCGAACGCCGGCATGCGGGCTGGGGTGCTTGGCGGCAGTTGACATCGCGCCTGCCGCTCCACCACCCTCACAACCACCTCGCTGCCGTAGTCGACAACCTCGCCGTCGCCGCCTCAGTTGTCAACCTTGCATACGCAAGACAGCTGCTAATCTCTGAATTCTTAGACTTGTAGCTCAGCCCGCCGCCGCTCACGAGTGACGTGCGCCAGTCGCATTTGCCATTGTTCAGCGCCGCACCTGCGCGTACATCGATATCAGCATGGCGAACCAGCCGCCGCAGAAGGCGCAAGCCCTGCCCAACCCATATGGTCTTCCCAACCCCTACGCCCAGAAAGGCCTTCCGAATCCGTATGCCTCGGCCACCATTTCCGCTGCGCCTGTCAAATATACAGAGGAACAGGCCAAGGCCGAGCAGCAGAAGAAACCTGGTATCTATCTGAACTGCTCCGTACCATTGCCTTGAAGCACGACTCATGTGATTGTCTAGCTTTTCATAACCCTCACCAAATCAAGCGTCCCCAGGCCAAGAAGGCTATCCCAACTGTCAAGAGGGCCACCATGCCTGTAGCTGCCCCGCTCTCTTCGTCAGTTCCCGGACCCGCCAATCCCCAGCAACATGGTATCGACTATTACCGAAGCACCGCAGAGGACGATGCGTCCATTCTGGAAGAACGCAGAATGCGCGCGTATGAGGAGAAGCAGAGGAAGAAAGAGCACAAGAAATTCACTAAGATGTACGGCCTACATGAACCTCTGGCCGCTCACAAACCCGACAAGCCATCCAACCTGCTAGCTTACAAGGCCCAAGGCGGCTACCGTCGTAAGAAGGAAGGGTTCACTGCCTTCTTGCGTGGAGCTGCCGCTCAGCACAAGTCTCGCGGTGGCAGTGAGGAAGCCAGCGGCACCCCGTCGGCGTCCTCTTCTAGTTCAACGCCTGCTACAGTCGCTACCAAGCCTTCATTCGCCCCGCCTGCATACTACGACGACAGCTCTGCAGCTCCCTCGTCCGATCCGTCAGGAGAAGATGCTTATGCCCGTCGCATGCGTCTGTCGCAGCAGCAGTCTGATACCGCACCGCCTCCGCCTCCATCGGTCACAGATGACTACGTCCCTCCGCCTCCGCCCCCACCGCCAGCTGATTCACCACCAGCACCCCCGAGCTATCAGGGTGCCACCATCTCTGCGCCTCCTATTCGATATGCGACCGCCACTATATCTGCGCCTCCAGTCCGGTACGAGCGTCCTGACGTACAGATGGAAGATGCAGACAATGAGCCCGCCCATGACGAACGTCCTGCCAAACGCGCCAAGATCAGCAAAGCCGAAGCTATGATGAACAAGATGGGTTACAAGAAGGGTCAAGGTCTCGGAAAGAACAACGATGGTGTGGTTACCCATCTGGAAGTCAAGAAGCGCAGGGTTCCTCAGGGCGCAGGCAATCTCGACGCGAACGGCAGAGTCCAGTCTCAACAGGTCTGGGATGTCAGTGGCGGTATGCGTATCCAGAAAGACGAGCCTAGCAAGTTCGGCGACAAGTCAAGTGTCGTGGTCACATGGGGTTGCGTCGACGATGTTGACTGGGACGCCAATGCAGAGCGTAACGACGGTGGTATCCGACAAGACATGGGCGAAGCATTCGGCAAAAAGGTAAGGCTTAAGATGTGGCCGTCAATGTACATATGCTAACAGAGTTCAGTTCGGTGGCGATGTCGAACGCATTCAACTGGACGAGAACAACAAGGATGGCGTAGTCTACATCCAGTTCAACTCTCCGATGGCCGCCCTCAACGCCGTGAACCGATTCGACGAAGGATGGGAATTCAGAGGCAGGAAGATCCGCGCCCAGTACTACGACGAGCGCAAGTTCCACTCCGGTATCTACGACTACTAGAAGCCACTTCTCTGCTCAGTTTTGGCCTGTCCCGGTCGTTAGCCTTCGAAGGATCGTTGGAGTATTCCACTTTATGATTGGTGTGACGGACAGGAATGACGGCAGAGAGGATCTGAGAGGTCGGCGCATGTGGCATCGCTGGTATAGATCTGGATATGCTTGAAGGGAAGATGTGTACGACTATATGGATTGGAGAGGAAATTCATGTTCGTCTTTTCAAGAGATTGGAGCTTTGAGCATCCTCCTGGTTGCTTTACAAGAAGTATTGTACTAGAATATGCCCAGCCTCAGCTCATGGTGTATCACCACGGAATATGAAGCCCGGATTTCACAACAAAAGCTCTGCAGACATGTCATATTTAGATTTCTCCAATCGAAACTTGACCAGCATGGAAGGTGATGAAACTTTATAAGGTAGCAAACGGGATATCGTTATCGTATCGTCTAAAAGGAGCTACGCCGCAGTCTCTGCACTCCTACTCGTACAGAAGTATAACATGTCCCCCCATCTAAAAGAAGACTCCAAGATTCGCCCGCTACTAACCCATGTCTCTAATGCGAGGTACGCCCGACTCCAAGGTATATATGCTCTTCTCTCACTTTCTACTAATTCGTTACTTCCGCCTCCAGCGCTAAGCGTTTCCAGGCTTCTCATCCGTATCAATATGCCAGACGACGTAGTTGGGCAATCCGTATACACCATAGCCTGCCCGCTTGGCCATCTTTGCAAAGCCCTCAGTCTCGGCTTGGTTTTCGAAGGGGTAGCAAGGGAAGTTTATGCCGGAGCGGTGGACGTCTGCTTTTACGATAATGTTTACGCCGCCGATGCCGTCGAGGGGTATTTCTTCGTCTTTGTCGGCGCGCCAGTCGCCCATCGTGGCCATGTAGCGGCGATTCGTGGGGTATTGTTTGTAACCTGTGAGTGTGTGAGCTGATGTCGAGGGAGGACTGCGAAGTGTAGGGAAAGTACCTTCCGCAAGCACAATATCTTTGTTGAGGGTGGAGGCAAGCTTGAGGCCTTCGGGAGATTCTTGCCAGGAGTTGTAATCGACTGAATCTTGTTAGTGAGGATCGCGGAATCGAGTGGGTGGAATACTCACAGCGCCCTTCAATGTCGACCATCTTGCCATTCTCCTCCTTGTACCTGTGGAACCAGATGTCTGTGTACTGTTAGTGAGAATCTTCCGAGGTTACATCTGCAACACGTACTAGGAACGAGAACATCCCGATCATGCGCCACAAAGTCCTCGATAATCTTGGACGGACTGTCGACAATATCTACATCCCTCCAGTATACCCAGCTGTGCTCCGGTTTCAAGGCAGTGTAAAGTAGGTAGTTCCTGGCTTTACCCAGCGCCTTTCTCCGTGGACCTTGTGCCTCAAAACTGTGTCTGTCCTCTACACTTTGCGAGAGTGTGACACCGAAATCTTTCTCGACGATCATGGTCGACCTGAAAGCTACTTCAGGGTTGTTTTGGACCCTCTCCAATTCCTTTGCCAATGCTGCCATGGTATCGTCCGTCGTGTCGCCAACCAGGAACGCCAGATCGATCAGCTCGTGGGGATACGTGAGTTGTGTGAGAAGGTCGAAGTGTTTCGCGAGGTAGTATGAGGCATCGCGGAGCGGAGTGAGGATCAGAACGCGTTCCTTGTTCTTGGCTGCGTCGATGGTCGAAGCGACGCCGTTCAGGTCGACGTGCTGGATTTCGGTGGCATTGACCTCTATTGGTTTGTGGTGGTTGAATATCACAGGGGTGTTTAAATGCGCGTGCCAGTCTTCATTCTCGTTCGCTGTCATGTGCATTGGAGGTTTCGAGGGGCCGAAGCAATAGAACCTGGGACATTATGATTAACGATTGCTCCATGTGACACATCGGGAGACCTGGCATACCTCTGCATCTCCCCAGCTGCTGACCCCATCGACCGCCATAGGAGCACAATCGCTGTGACCAGACCAATGGAAATGAGGAAGCGTGGGTTCCGTACTGTACTTATGACCTGTCTTGATGGTGGTAGCCGGGCTTTGGCAGCCTTCCACGAGTATCCTTTTCCCGCAAGCATGTTGAGTGGGTAGGATCCCGCGTGTTCCTTCTCCACCTCTTCCCCTCTGGCCTGTGATATGCGTATCGATGAGCTACGCGCTCGGACGCTATCCGTGTTGCTGGTTTCCCTCTGTGAATGAAGCGGCGGCGATCGCGACTGTGGCCTCTCCAGTTTGGCGGTTGAGAGCGCCCGGGCGCGCGACGTTTGGAGTGAGAACTAAATATTGCTGGTGACGTCGCAGCAGGGTCGGGGGAGAGCAGCGGCGGAAGCGACAGACGGTAATGACTAGTGAAAGCAGGACCCTGACTTGCTACACAGTGGGACACGCGAGGGAAGTGACGAAAGGGGTGGACGACAGGCGCAATTGCGTTGCAGAAGCAATTCGTTCAGTACAGATTACCGTTGAGCGCGACGAGCATGCGAATGACGCTAAGTGCAGATCAATCGCGATAGTGCCGCTGATGACGACGCCTCGGAAATATGATAGACGGTAATTCTCTCATAATTCACCGCAGACCACAACGAAGTGTCAATGTTACATGTTTGGCCTAGAACGTTGCTCAATATACTTGTTCCGTAGCGATTGGGCCCTGCGTGCCTGCCTTCCATTTTCCTGGTTCCCGCACGTGAAAGCATGTGCTGGGAACACCGACACCGGCCGCGCCGCGGCTCCTAGCAAGAGAGCTGCGTGGTACAGAATGTCGTGCATGGGATATGTTTGCGATATGTACGAAAGAGGCTCACTCGTTTACCCACATGATTTGTTATACGAACTTAGTGACTGCGGCCCGCACTTTAGAGCCCGCTCTCCGTCTTACCACCCATAACTTATGGGATGCTTGAACTAGGTATGCGAGACATGAAGGCCTTGTCTTGGGTTTTCATGAGCCGAAAGAGAGTTTGTGTGTAAATGACACTGCAGTATGGAATATTCAATGTGGAATGCATCGCCGCCGTTGCAGGTGCGCTGCCAACTAGCGGCGCAAGACAGTCTCAAAACTTAAGAGATCAAGTTATCCGGGATAACAAATTGAGCTGAGCTCCTGCACCACATTCGATAATTCGCCAACAGAAGCTCTAGCTGTTCTTTGAGCGCTTGCCCTTACACTTTTCCGTTAATTTTGGCAACACTATGAGATGATGGAGGTCTGTTGCGTTAACAAGACTGAAGCTGATGCGCCAACACCCACCACTGTTGGCGTTTCATCCTTCTTATTAAGAAACACTATCAACGGTACATGAAACAGCATAAACAGAAATGAGACATTTGAAACATCCGTTCGGGGAAAAACCAATGTTCAAGTCATGGGCGTTGAAGTTCGCAAAGACCTCAACGTGTGACGTAGGATTTCCAGACAAGCACATGTTGATTTGAACACATCACAAGCAAATGCACAGCAGATTTAAGAAAGACTGTATGCCACTATCCCAAACAAAGCAACTCCTCCTGCAATTCTGCACACCGTGTCGCGGGGCAGACATATATGTACTGCGAATTAACAGGCTGCTCGACCCTCGTAGCCAAATGATACATTCAATTGTTACATGCTGAACCATGAAACCGTCCCCGATGCCCCTTCAGTCCTCAGATGCTGAACTCTTGCGTCAGCGCCTGTTCGCTTGATGCTATACGCTATCAAAGAAAGTCAGGTGGGGGTAGTCTATGCAATTATGATGGAACGCCAGCGTCATGAGCTTTTTAGAGAAGGAGAACAGCGGCCATGGCGGCAAGGCCAAGGGCACCGTTAACAGCGCTGAGGGTGGTGGCGGCGCCAGTCTTGTCGTCGCTGCCACCCTGCTTGGTACCCTTGTGGCCCTCACCAGCGGGGTCAATGAGCTTGCCCTCGCACTTGTAGCCACCCTCGATGAGCTTCTTGTCCTTGAGGGGCTTGTAGGTCTTGCAGGTCTCGGTGACGTTGTCAGTGGACTGGAGGTTGAAGGCACCGGAGACGCTGTTGAGCTTGGGAGTAGTAACGCTAGGAGGTGTTAGCAAGGCATATTGTACAGCGAGTACGAAGCAAACTTACTCAGTGAAGTTACCGCTCATGTCGAAAGCTCCACCGATGCTCTTAAGGACAGGGAAGCCATCAATCTCGATGAGCTTGGAGTTGTTGGCGATTTGAAGGTTCCCGGAGATCTTGGTGAGCTGGGGGAAAGAGACGTTGGACAGGTTCTCGTTGGCAACAAGGGCAACAGCCTCGCCGACGGAAGTAAGGTTGGGAGCAGAGAAGGACTCGAAACCGTTGTTGTAGAGACCGAGAGAGCCGTTCAAGCGCTCGAGGGAGGGAACTGAGACAGAACCACAGAATCGGAAGGTCAGGTTGCTAGCCCAGATGAGGTTGGGCAGCTCGACCTTGACGGCCTCGTTGTTGTCGGCAAGAGTCAGCGATGTCGAGACGTTGCCGAGCTGCATGGAGATCTCATCGATGTAACCGTTGTTTGCGATGAAGACAGTGTCGACTTCCTCAATGTTGATACCCTTGAGCGAGCGGAGAGCGGTGTTCTGGATGTCGACCTTGTTGGCCTTGGTGACCTCGCCAGTGAAGCCAATCTCCTGAAGAGCGGGCAGGGCGTTCCACTTGATGGAGTCGATGGCCTTGAGCTTGGGGAAGTTGACGGCGTTGAGACGAGTCAAGTCGTTGAGCATCATCTCTCCATCGAGCTCTTCGAGGTCGCTGGCGCTGATCTGCTTGAGTTCGGTTGCGGTGTCGGCGATCAGATCACCCTTGATCTTCTTGACGCCGGGGAAGGAGATGTCGTCGGTGGTACCAGTCGCAATGGCGATGTTACCGGAGAAGGTTGAGCAGGAAGCAATGGCGCTGGCGTCACCGGCATTCTGGATGGTGGTGGTGGCGGAGACACTGCACGCAGCTGGAGTCTTGTCAGTCAATGTTGACGCGGTCTGGTGTCGTGGAGAGCATACCGTACGCGCCGCTGGCAGCAGCCAGGGCCGGGAGGGCGATCTTCATCATGGAAGGCATTTTGTGTAGTGCAAGTGGTTTGGTAACTGGGAGGAAAAGTCAGCGGGCGCGTCCATGAGGCGACAGAGAAATGTGGACTGGCAACACGGACCTGGGATATTAAGACTGCTCGTTCCGGTTTCAGTTGTGCGGGTGCTGCGGGCTAGTTGTCGAGAGTGGAAAGATGCTGGAGCGAGGGGAAGAATTAACAAGCAAAGCAGACAATATTAAATAGAGTAGTCCCAGAGACGCGATGAAGAAGGCGCGGTCGTCGGTAGCGAGTGTGGGTGAAGACTGAGAGAGGAAGGGCAAGAAGGCATTCTAATGGGAGCAGGCGCCAGAAAAGGGGAGCGCGGTGGTGCCAGACCGGGCAGGCGCTAATAACGCTAGTGAGGCCGGGTGGAGATCATAGGCGGCCAGAGCGTGCCCACCATCATCGATCAAGCAAGCAAGCAAGCCAGAGTGAATGTTGCAAGCGGGCCTGGGGCCACGCACTGGTTGTGGTTTCGCCGCCTGCGCGCGACGACACCGCCAGCAGTGCTGTGGTTGCTGCACGCTCGTGGCTACCCGCATCGTGTTGCCATGACTGCACCACGACGGCCGTACCGAGCGCGCGGACAGAGTGGTTTGACAGGCGAGGGCTACCACTTGTCGACATCCATTATCCATGATGCCTCCTCGCCGCCCGCTGCACGCTGCTTGTCGCTCTTAGCTTCACGTGCCGAGCATGCTGCTCCCAATTTCAAGCTCTGAATCCTCTGCCTGCCCTGATAAGCACCATGCAGCATCCGCAAACAGCAGCCTCTCATGCGTGAGCCTCAACAACAGGGGTGGCGTCTGGGTCGCCGCCCTGTCGCCCTAGGAGACGACCATCCGCTACTGTGCCCGCACCATTCCGCTGCTCGTCAACGTCTCCATCCGTCTTCGACGGACCTGTTAGTTTTGCTGGTAACCGCTCACTACGCGGCAATGCGGCACCTTCGCTCCTTGTCCGCCCATCCAGAGTCTTCTTTTGCCACTGTCTGGCCGACTCGAAACACAACAAGCACCGTGGATTATTACGCGGCCTTTTACCATATCCGCCACCCCTGTCCAATGGTTTCAATGCGGTTGAACCCATGGATTAGACCCGTGTTAGGTATAGCGCAGCCGTTGCAATCTCACGAGACACGAACCCCAACAGCGGTTATAATTACACCACGACCTTGCGCGCTCGAGCTCTATTGCTGCTTTCAGCCGTGTGCACTTGCCTCTCCTTTATATCCATATCGCCCCAACATCTGCATTGCGTCTCATTTCGTTATTCTCGTTCTCCAGACGGCTGTTGCGACGAACCACCTCGCTTATCGTCCACCCCAAGCGACAGCCTCACCATCGATCCTTCCTGCCAAGCTTTTTGCTTGACGCGCATTGATTGACCTCTCATTTCCAGCCTGGGGCTCCGGAGATCCACTTGCGCCGCACGCACAGCGTCGTGTTTGCTGCGATGACGTCGGCAGTTACAATTGTTTCAGTCTCGGGGTTTTTTCTAGAATGGCCCACCACGTCCTACAACGAACAAAATGAACAGGTGCACTGCCGTGCAGACAAACACGAAAGCAACAGTCGACAGAATCCCAAGGTAGTGTCAAATTCTGAAACAACCTGTCATCCTCTGTGAGAGCTAGGTGTGCAAGTCTTCCATCGATGGTCCTGAAGTCAGCAACTCTATATATTAGTCCACTTTTCCGCCCTCCCAAATACCCGTGCTCAATGTTGCTATGTCGAGCTTACTTTTCCACACATTAGGAGCGAGCGCTACAACCTCCTCATTCGTGCCGCTTTGCGCTTCCGACCTCGTCTTGCGGCAGTACTGGAACAAGCCTATCTGGCCGATTAGTGGGTCCGTCTCTGATCCTTCCACAATTCGCGACTTTGAACATCATGGGCATTTGCGACATCGTAGATCAGTGACATTTCACTTACTAAGGGAAACACAAAGTCGGGTAGAGGAACACATTTGATGCACTTGTATAGTATACGAAGTTGCGAGGTCTTCACGACGTCTGGAGAGCATGTGATGGGCTGTCGCCTATGACTTTCCCACTATCCTTCTGGCGCACCAAAGATCTGTTGGATCATCAGTAGAGGCTGCTCTTGTTTCAGTCCTATGGCATCATCCCAACTCGCTGGAACGAATTTTTCGATCTGCCTACATGCGAATCACTCGCAGGACATCATTGCCCACATGGAAGGGCACGGCGTACCATACGCTTGGCACTTTCTGTCTTGTTACTGAGTTTCTTCCGCACTTTTGGCTACACCTACACAGCAAAAGCGGTTCGTGGATATCCCTGGCGAAAATATCACTAGATACTTCCGCATACCAGCACAGCAGCCAATATCGAACGTTGTTGTATGATCCAACTGGTCCATCCACGATGGATATGGTTTACCGTCTCCGACCCACATTCCATCTCCACCAAACAGGTCATCGACTCCACTAGAACACATAGACCCCATACTGTATATGCGTATCTTACTGCAAGGACCAACGCTTCTCCATGGGAAAGTTACTCCCCGACAATCAAGTCTTTTGCAAAACATTAACGTCCACATCGGCAATTCGCCACATATACCACATAAACAACGACCTGGCAGAGGAGAATATTAATTTTGTTGTTATTGGAAGCTTGCGACAGGGACCGACGTACCTGTAAGGCGAGAACTTGGAAGCCATGTCGAGCATTTCCTGCTCCGTCATGTATCTGCATGGCGTACGTCAGTACATGTTACACTGATGTGAGAGGGCATGATGAATAATACGTACTTCCACTTCCCGCCTTTACTCTTGAGTTTGTTCACATCGCGGCCCGCATATACGGCCATACCCCGTCTGCATACACGTCAGTCACGTTATTCGTGGAAGAAGTACACGCTGATTTCTCAAAAGAACGAACTCGACTCACTGTACACCCAGATCACCAGTCGAGAAAACGTCCATCCTCTTCAACCCAAAGCAAGCAAACATCTCCACACTCCATCGCCCTAAGCCCCTCACCGCTACTAGCTTCTCGATGAGTTCTTCGTCGCTGGCACTGACCAGCATCTCGGCTGATAGTTCGCCAGAAGCGAACTTCTCGGCTAGACCGTAGATGTACTCAGCCTTGCGCTGCGAGAGACCCGCTGTACGCAGCGTTGTAATGTCCTTTGTGAGGACTTGAGTGGGAGTTGGAAAGGAAGGGTGTGTGTCTGGGAAGAGGGCGGTGAACTTTGCGCGGATAGATGAGGCTGCTTGGCCTGATACCTGGGGGGAATGGTTAGTTCTGCATGTTCATTCTAAAGCCTTCTTCGTATAAGATTTGCGACGATACACCCCAGACTTCATCTACCAGCTTGCTCATGTCACTGTCTACATACCTGCTGTCCAATGATCCCCTTTCCCAACGACTCAAATGGTCTGACTACCTCCCTCAGCCCATCCGGACTAAAGATCCCGCATTGGTGCCCGCGCACCACCTTCTCAAGTTTAGGATCTGTCTTGATGAGAAAGTCTTCTGCGTCCTTCAGCAGATTGTCGATATCGGTGCTCGCGGGTGGAATGGCACCAACATCTGGTGGAACGAGTTCCTTCGCTTTCCGTTTCTTAGCTGGAGAAGGGTCGGTGGGTTTCGCGGGAGAGGATGCGTAGGCTTGCACCACGTGGGATCCATTGGGTGTGGCTAGGTGGGCATTTGTCGTGTGAGGCTCTGCTGGACGAGTAGTGGGATCTGAAGGTGACAATGCGGGGGCTGAAGAAAAGATACTGGCACCCGCGGGCGTCGGCGTGGAGGGTGGTAGTTTGAGTGGTGATTTTGATGACGCTGCCGATTTCGATGCCGTTTTACGCTTCTTGGGGAGCGGTGTCACAGGGAGGGGTGAAGTTGAATCTGCTGAGTCTACGACTTTGTCTCCATTGGTTTTCCCATCCACAGTAACCTTGTTCTTCGTCTCGTCTCGTGCTAATGGTGCAGATGCTGCTATGGCTTTGCGCTTCTTCGTGGGTACACTCGTCTTGCTAACTTTCTCATACTTTGCAACACCATTTTGAACTTCGGCATCTAATGGGGCTTGCGTAATACTGCTGGCGACGCGAGCGGAACGTCTCAAAGACATGGTGTGATGGTTGTACAGGTGGTTGAACGTTCTGGTGAATGGGATAATCTGACGTCATATGGTTAGGATCTGAGACGGCTGCGAGACTGCGACGACGTACTTTCTGCTTCAAAGCTCCTATTGCAAACATGAAAATGGTCACTGGGAGGATGTGTTGTCAGTTGCGCAAGTGGGGAGCTTGACGCGATGCGCGGGAAGCTATTCTTGAGCTGACGCCTGAGCACATGACATCGTGGCTGACAAAGCGCATTCCTCGTATGCGAGATGATCGGCATTTCATCCGCTCCATACAGAAGCATGGCGAAGTGAGAAACTGTACACGGTCGCGCAATGCACAACATTTTACGGATTTGCTTGCGTCCCCGTGTTTGGACATTTAGTTGTAGTTACCAAGAACGCGATAGAAACTTGGGATTCCCGTAGTCGGTGTCCCTATTTTAATAGCAGATGCTATAAAGTACTGCAGGATGGGCATCTGCGTGCAGAATAATACCAATGTCTTGAATCCAAGATGATTATTTCAATGAATGTTTTGCCTATCTATTAATTGTTAATGTTCCATCTGTTATCACGGCAATTCCATGTTTTGGGTCTCAATCGTGCAGTGTCTCATCACTTCAGGCCTGACTGTTCCCGTGAAGTGCATAGAACGTGCATGTCATTCATCGTTTTCCGGTTGTATCTGGGCGTTGCTTTCCGAAGCCAAACCTAAGCGTCTTGCCGTGGCCGCCTCCCCAATAAGTCGTTTCCCATGGATTGCGAGACGAATGCCCGCAACTGAGCGTGCGCGCATTCGTAAAAGCTCTTGGAATCATATGGTAAAAAAAAAGGAACGTGTTTCCAGACGCGACCGAGGGGAGTCCTGTACGAAATATGTTGATATGATACAATCTATTGCGCAGCCTCAGAATCGATCCACCAAGCTCCCAATTGATCGCCCAGACTCGATATATACATTCTAGTGTCCGGTGGCCTGGGCGGCGTTCTTCTGCCTCTTCTGGATGACCATGGCCTCGAGGTCCTCGCGCTCGGCCATCTCGGACTCGATCTCTGTGATGAGCTCGGCGAGGTATGGTGTGTCCTTTTGCATGGTCAGCATCTGGTATTCGGGGTATTAGCGATATCCCTACATCCTCGGGCTTAGTCCACTCCTCCTTGGGCAGAAGCTGGTGGGACATGGAGAGCTGCCGCAGATTAGCCACATTTGCCATGTCCTGTGTATCTTGTTCGGCAGTACCTGGAAAGCTCGGCGCAGACGGAAGACACGGTCGTAGGCCTCCTGTGGTCGGAGACGCTTCAGGGCGGTCTGAACTACGTCGTTCTCCTCGGGGAGCAAGTCATCGGCCCTGCATCACAAATCCCGTCAGCCCATTGATCCACACTCGGCTATGTTCTCCACGGCCTCCTTCTATATTCGTGTATAGACCGTATCCGGATCGGGGCTCCGTACCTCAGACCGAGCTGCCTGTAGCCGGCGGCGTTGCAGTACCAGTTGGCGAGCGGCTTCATCCAGCGCTGCAGCCACGGGCGCTTCATGATGTAGGGGGCGAGAGACGGGGCAGACATGATTGCGGGTGTTCGACGGCGTATCGGAGGGGTCGAGACGGGTGCTGTCGTCAATTGCAGTTTTGACGGTCGGAAGTGGTGAGGTCGTAATGCGAAAGAAGCGAACGCCAATAGGCCGGCGGGCAGCGCTTGGCCCGCAGCAGGCCTTGGTCTTAATCAGCGGCCTGTCCCCACCCGCCAGAGCAACTTCACTCGTGCTCCATCCTAGCTCTGACGTCTGCCCACAACCGCCTCCTCACACGCTCCCGAGCGCATATCCTGGCACGAGGCCCGCACGCGACTGAACGCTTTCACCACGACTCCCTCACCTGCCGTCCGCCTGTCAATGGAGCCGAACAATCGCTAGTCATCGTGTTACTCAAGTGCTGCGGGGTTTCCGCAACACTGAGGCACCGCACAGGGGACGACGGCCTGTATGCGTCCACCCCTCTCTTCCCGCCCTCTGAATCAAGCTCTCTAACAAGCCGGCAATGGCAGTACCCCTAATGTCGACACACGAACCCGCGCCGCCGTCCCCGCCTAACGTTCCCGACCGGTATGCGCCTTCCGCCGTGACAGTTGAACAGCGAGACATGTCCACCCCAAACCAACAGCGCACCTGGAGCTCTCCTGTCGCCGCCCTCGCCATCAGGGTTTCCAAACTCCCCGATAGCTCCGTCAATGCCTTGTGCGGAGCGTCTGCTGGAGTTGCTTCGGGCATAGTGACGTGCCCGCTCGATGTTATCAAAACCCGCCTGCAGGCGCAAGGCTCTTTCCGTCCGAGGACGTACACCGGGCCAACGCGCACAGTGTACAAAGGCCTCACCGGTACTGCGCGAGTGATATGGATCGAGGATGGCATCCGCGGCCTGTACCGAGGACTCGGGCCCATGCTGCTTGGATACATTCCGACCTGGGCCGTCTACATGAGCACTTACGAATCTACCAAAAACGTCCTCTATCCTCAAATGGGTTAGTTATACACATGGCCACCCAAGTTCCTGTTGCTGACAAGACTTGCGTCACAGAGAATAAATGGCTCGCTAGGACCATCGCCTCGTTGTTTGCTGGTGGCTGCTCGACGCTAGTCACCAATCCCATATGGGTCGTCAAGACGAGACTCATGTCCCAGGTCAGCGCCCGCGCATCGCCCGAACACCGGCCGCCATGGCACTACACAAGCACCTTTGACGCCTTTCGCAAAATGTACCTCAAGGAAGGCGTTGCCTCCTTCTACTCGGGACTTACACCTGCGCTCCTTGGCCTTACCCACGTCGCCATTCAGTTCCCGCTATACGAGTTTCTCAAGATGAAGTTTACTGGCCTGGAAATGGGCCAGACAGACAGCAAGACTGAGGATGTGCACTGGTTCGCCATTGCACTGGCAACAGTCTTGAGCAAGATGACGGCGACTTCGGCGACGTATCCACACGAAGTCTTGCGCACGCGCCTGCAAACACAGCAACGTTCGCTGCCCTCGCACTCCGACAATCATGTGTCGTTTCGAGGAGGTCAGCACGACCGATTCCATACCCGCCCTCCTGGCACGGCTTCGTCGGATGGAATGATAAACCTCCCCCGCTATCGCGGCATCTTGCGAACATGTACAGTCATCCTCCAAGAAGAGGGATGGAGAGCCTTTTACAATGGAATGGGCACCAATATGGTCCGTGCTGTACCTGCCGCAGTCACGACCATGTTGACATTCGAGTCGTTGAAGGCCGTCCACCAGAAGCTGAAGAACGAGGGTAAGAGGATAGAGCACGAGGTCGAGTGACGATAAGTATCTACAATTTGTCTCTCAGTCCACAGGAACCGATCGGCATCATTACTGGGCGTTTAGTCATGGGTTAGGAAGGGAGATATCCTAGTGAGCACCCCTGTTCTGTTTGTTCATACGTTTGTACGCACAGGGCAGCATTTTCGGGCACTGTCAGCATCAAAGCTTTGGCGTTTGTAGGGCAATATGGTTGATTTCCTATAGGCTGTCACAAGTGCGAGCAGATTTAGCACTTGGTTGAAGGCACCATTCGCATGATCATCTAAATATACTACTGGGAGAATATTGCCTTTAACAGGTGCTATGTTGCTAGGCCTCCGGAGTAAAATATGCCAACAGGGCGGTCAGCGTTGCAAACGCAGTGCCGCATACGCTGAAGTCATGAGCACCGCCAATAACGGTGAGTCGACGTGTCTACATTCTTCAGGGGAGCGAAGCCTCGTTCGCTGATGTCGGAATTGACAAACGCCTACGCTGCTCGCCATGGTTCTACGGTCATACAGGCGCACCCTCTCTGAAGCGTCCATGCTTCACGCGTTAAACTTCACACCCTTTGCTAGGCTATATCCCTTGTACCTAAATCATGTGCGCTGTCTTGGCTTTTCTGCTGGCACACTATCATGATTCCGTGTACCGCTCCCGTTGAGCCGCATATAAACCCACCGCCTATACCTGTCCGCAGCCAGTTACGAAACGGCTCAGCATATCAACAGAGGCTGCGCGCTATCATTTCTGAGCCTATGAGTGCGACAAGTGTTTCATCGTCTCCTGCCTCACGGACTCTTTTCGACGAACTTGACAGGGAGTTGACGGAGACACAACAGAGACTAGCCAGCGTGAGTCTGGAAGGGAGGGACATGAGTGACAACAGAGAGAGTCTGCTCTGGGATGATTGGAGGGAGAGTGATACGTCGACGGAAAGAGGGCTTAAGAGTGACAGCGGCGGTGCTTCTGAAGACTGCTGCTTGAGTGAACTCAAATCTGAAGCGAGTGATGGAGACAATTATCCCGAACCATTGAGACCAAGCGAGCGAAGCGGGCATGTTGTGGAGCAGATCGATGTGCAACGGCGCGTGCCGGCACAACGAGGAAGTCGCGACAGCCCACCTTCTGCCATCCACACTAATCACACAACCCGCTCTGACCACAGTTCATCATCCTCTGACTACAGTTCCCGAACGATGGACACCAAAGTGTCCGACTGGCTCGCACAAGGGTTCCGCTTTTCTGAATCTCATGAATCCGATTCTCCACGACAGGTCACCAGTAACTCTGATCGCCCCTTCCCTCCCAGACTCGCTGCCCTCTCACTTTTTCCACCAACGTCTCCATCGACCGGTAACAAAGAGTATACACCACCCGGAAGTCCTTTTGCTCGACCTGCCTGCCCGGTGTCCCCACTGAATAACGGAAGAGATGTTTACGGTAATTACATACCTTCAAACATGAAAGACTACTTCGCCCCGCAGTCGCCTCCAATGTCGCCCAATATACGAGCTATTCCTGAAAGCCGAGTCTCTTTAGAACATGGTAGATCGTCACCCATCGTGCATCTCCGTGGCGGTGGTTGGAATTTGAAGGGACTGTGGAAGACATCTGATACCGGAGGTTCTGATCAAAACCCTGGTTCAACTTCTATGCATCACCTTACTGGCAAGGATGCTATTGTGCGGGAATTACCAACAACTGATCACGCTGGGCGACCGGAAAGTCGAGCAGCGCGTAGTGTGCGATCACACTTCTCGACTACTCGTGATGGGAACGATACAAGGACAGCACAAGGAACGCCAGCCAGGCCATCGCCAATCGACACTAGACGATATGGTCAACACCCAAATGGAGGAGGCGATATCAGGCTAGGTTCGAATACGCCAGACTCTGCAGACACGGATGATAGTTCTGTTCCCCGAGCTCGTGCTGATGCAGTCTTGTATCAGTATTTTGGATCTCAGTTATCCCCACGCGTACCAAAATCCCCGGAGATCACATCATCCACCGTTCGAGCGCATCAGACAACTCATAACGGAGCTGATGTAAAAGTAAAGGATGGGCACCGCTTGCCTCCCATCGACAGGACTCTTGCACAACCCAATTCTCAAAGTGCGCTTTCCTCTCAGGATGACCACACGCGCGACTCTACAAGCCCCTCACGACCGGAAACAAAGACTATACATAGGCCATGGGATACTGTAAGATCAGAGGAGGCTCCGAATACTGATGACACAGCTCAAAGTCACGTATTTAGTCCGAGGGACAAGAAGAGATGGGATAGAAATAACCCTCCTCCGCCACCGAGACTCCCTCCACCAAATCCACCCAGGTACCTGCGAACTGATCTACCCGACGATGATGCTTCTGAATACACTGACGATAGCCATCAAGCCTCCTCTGTGGTATCTGCCAACACGAGGCATGATCAGCTGATTGACCTCTTGGATATAGGTCAGACCGATGTTTACAGGAGGGTTGAGCGTGAGCGCGAGATTCGACGTATACAAGCACAGAGAAAGTGGCACGATGAAGCGGATCGGAGACGCCATGTAGACATCAGGCGCCAGCAGGGATCGCGAGAGCCTGACCTGGACACTATCTTACCGGATGACAGCATCGCTGCACTAATGCGACGCCAGCAAACCGAAAGACGGCATGACTTGGAGCGCCCGGCAGCTGTTCAAGAGTATCGCCCTACCAGCTCACCGGCGCCTTCACAATACCTACCTCGTCACGGTCCTATCACAACTAAAACTCAGGCCATACCCCAACAGCAAAGCAACCGTATCCACACAATCGGTTACCCGTCTGTTGTGCCTGCCCCAGCAGCCTTCGAGCCCGCTTCCATCAAGCGAAAGCACTCCTTACAAACAGTCCTCTCCAAAGCAGGAAAACTTACACGCCTGATCCTCGCTGCTCCTTCGGATCCCAAATACAAGACGTATTCACAGCGACAGCATCCGGTAAAGCAATCAGGAATGAGCGCCGATGCCACTGGGTGGCCAAGGAATGGGAAAGCCTCTTCAGCAAACCATGGGATGTTCATGTCAACTCAAGCACCACAACAAAGGACTATGTTCAGCCGCGATCGGCCGCAGACTAGTGGAGATGATGCTAAGAGATCGGGCAGCAGGGGTTGGGAGCATCCGAGGGGCAGAAGAGCGAAGAAAGTCGAGAAGGCGGAGAGCAAGAGACGGAGAGGGAGGTGGGGAAGAAAAACAGATGAAGAGACGTCCACTGGAGATACTCAAGTCATCGACTTTGCGTCCCGAGACGCTGCTCGGTCGAAAGGTGCTACACGGCTTCAACACCCGCCTCGCGCACGTCCGCCATCACCCAAAGCTCTAACGCGAGCCGCTGAGCCTCCCGTCCCTGTTTTCAAGCCTTCCACGTATCACCAACAGGAACCTACTTTCATGCCCAGCGATGTAGCAGGTACGCCGCAAACAAGATTTGGCCCACCAGATCGCGAGGGAAAGTTATACGTCCGTCGCCGCGATGGAGAGGTCCTACCATTCAATCCTGCACTGGGATATCCGTACCACTTGCGTCTCAACACCTACTATGATCACAAGACGGTAGATGCTACGACAATGGCATGGCTAGAAGGCATTCGTGCACAAACCGATGCAATTCCTCATCCCGTCATCAACATGCGAGGCGGCGACGGTAGCATCTCTTCCAAACTGCGCTCCACGTATGGCGAAGCGAGCAGTTTGGCATCGCGCCATCACCTCCTGACATCAGCAGTAATGAGCCTGGATAGTGGTAACGAAACAGTTGGTGGTACCGATACAGACGCCCTACTTGTGTCGTCCACGCATCTCAGTTTAGGTCAGGTTACACACGAAGCTATTGCTGCAGTCAATGGCGCTCATGGAGATGAAGGGAACAACAGGCCTAGTTGTGATGAAGCCCACATGCGGTCGAGTTTCAGCACTGACTCCACAGTGGAGCTCAGGCGGGAGAAGAAGGACAAGGCGAGTGCCTGGCGGAACGAAGACCAAGCTAGGGCTATGGCTATTGCTATGCATGGTTTTGGGTAAGGGTATTCGGGCGTGGAAACTTCTCGGAATGATCATGGGATCTTAAACATGACAAAGTCTACGTGAATGAAGGAGGTTACTCGTTCATGGCTTCCCGTAGCTACAACAAACTGGCATGGAAGTCAGGTGACAATTCCATATGCATATCTGCAACAAAATCTTATACATATCTATATAACATCTCAAGAACGCCTCATTCTTGCCAAAACAGTGTGCTTGTTATACAGAGTTGAGATCATGTCCGGAAGCGCCATTCAATGCTAATCGGCCCAATCAAATCATCAATAATCGCAGTGATTATAGTCATAAAGCGAGCCCATACCCGCAGCCGTAAGCGCAAATTCTACAGTCTCGCTTCTATCCCAAAAGTACTCGCGCATCCACGTCGAAACCATATCGAGTGCTGAAACCGACGAGTTGCTCGACCAGACTTTTTCGTGGCGGGCCCAGGATGAATGCTGCCATAGCGTCTCCGGATACTGTTGCTGCAGCATTGGGAGTAGCGATCTGGGTGCTGCGGCTCGTGTGCCGTGTAAGATGCCGGCTTGGACGAGGGGATAGATTCCCGAGGCTATGCTCATGATGGCGATGAGATTGGGGTTTAGACATTGCGAGGTGAGGAAGGAGGTAGCTTCCACCGGCATTGCGGTGGATGAAAAAGATCCAGGAATGACGAGGATGTCGAATTGAGGCGCGTTGTCAAACGAGTTCTAGCTAGACGTCAGTCATAGTATTCGAAAAAAAGGTGAAGCGAATAGTGGGTAGGGGCTTGTGTTAACCTTTACCTCCCTGCCAGACTGTCAGAGATGACTACTTAAAGGCAGTCAAGACCAGGCGAATCCAGCGCGACCAAAAAGGTTGGCTCTTCTTGGCCAAAGGAGATGGCTGTTTGGAGGGTATGGATGGATGTGTGGGTGGTCGTGTCGATCGTGTTTCGATACGGAGCAATTCGAAGCTTAGCTCACCGTCACCGGCATTCGCGTGCCAGCCGTGACAGGAAAACTCCCCTCTCCGGTCACACTGACATATCGAATGTCAATTTCGTCCACGGCCTCGTCGATGGCTGCTGCCGTGGCGTGCATTCTGCTGATTCTGTTTCTTCCGACCATGGCGAGAAGGTCAAGTGCGACTAGGTCGGCTAGTTGAACTTGGTCGTTGCTGAGTACCAGCACGCCGATGCGTAATGAGGATTTTGAAGGAGGTGCATAGTGGATGTTGAGGTCTTCTTCAGAGGTTGATGAGGTGGTGCAGAAATAGAAGAGGTCGGCCTGACTCGGAAAGGATATTGCGCTTCTTGGTGGAGACGGCATGAGGATATGTGACGGTCGGTATGATAGAGTGGAGAATGAAGTTGACTGATGGCTAGGTGTTTTGCTCAAATGAGCTGATATGTATGGCAATGTTACCGTGCGGCCTCAGGATGGCTTTATACACTCCAGGCCGTAAGCTCTCGTACATCCCTGAAACTAAGGTAGCAGTGAACAGGGCAAGAGTATTGTCAAGCGTCATACGGATACGCATCCCCCACTGTATGATGATCTGCATTAGTGAGGTACGGCTCAGCCCCTTGGAAGCTTGCTGACTCAGTCCGGTTAGAAGCCGTTCGTGAACCGACTGCTCCCGAGCAGACTCGCTATCGTGCAGCAAGGCGTATACAGGCCCATATCGCACCGCTTTGCGTTTGAATCATGTTGAATACGTGTATCGCCTATGGTCGCTCCAGTTTAGATGTGGCTGCCTGTCCTTCACCTCGTAAACTGCCGTGATGAGAGACTAGGCATCGCAATTCGCATCCATGCCAGTGGTCGAACGCGTTCGGTAGGCGGCACGCGTAACGGGAGCGCCGAAGACGCGGATAAGCACTTGAACGTATTGAAACAACTTCAAGATGATTAGACGGTGGCTGTGAGCGGAGTTAAAGGAAGAAGTCGGAGAAGTTCAGATTGAGCTCGAGGCTAAGAGGTCCGGCGGAGCGCCTTACGGCTCAGGCACCAGATTTTGCTGGTCAGCTGTCGCAGAATTACATCAGGGCCGGAGATTTGCTGTGACCAAGATAGCAATGGGAATTGTAATGGGTGAGCTTGGATACGGTGGCTTCTCGATGATGCGTGGCGACCCGGCTTCAGCTCGTGGCATGTGACGTCTGCGCACCGCTTGGGCCAGGAGCAATCTGGTGGAACACCGAAATGCCGCGACGCTGGAGGACTGTGATGGCGCGTGTGCACCGCTCTTTGGGACTCTACCGTTAGCCTTCAAAACACTTCATATGTTCTACACTGTTCATGTATTGATGATCATCGCGCCCGAAGGCGACTTTGGTTCTTCACATAGTCAGGTGTGGGTCAGGGTGGGAGGGTATTCTTCATTCATTCGCTGCATCTACAGAATCGCACCAGATGTAGAGGGCCGTGGCGGCAGCTCAGAGCTTGCACGCAAACACAGCCGTGAAATCCATCGCTCGTTGACCCAAAAACAATATATCAAAAGCTTGTCGTAGGTGCATGCTACGTTGCACTCTCTAGATGTCCTTGGCCTCACCGTCGGCCTCACCGGACTTGACGGTCTTGCCAGTCTTCTTGATCTTCTCGAGGACGGTGTCGTAGGATAGCGAGTCGGCAGCGGTGATCTCGGCGGTCTGGTTCTCGAGCGAGACGTTGTAGGACTCAACACCTGTGGAGTAGTCAGAACTTGATCCCGGACCACCGGCGCGTGCTGCTTTTCGCAGCACATGGCTACTAGATGGGAAACTGACCCTCGAGCTTCTTGAGAACGCGCTCGATAGCGCCAGAGCAGCCGCCGCAGCTCATGGCAACGTTGAACTTGTAGGTGTGCGTCATTGTGTGGGAGCTTGTAGGTGGTGTTGGTGGTAAAGTCCTAGGTTCAGTGCGGGTCGCAGGGCTTCGATGTGGCGTGGTTGTGTTTGTTTGATAACCGCAAAGAGAGGAGCTATGACTAGTATATATAGGTATCACTAGCGGAAGGACCTGACGAAGAGCGGATGAGCAAGTTTCAAGATGGTGGTGCAATTCGGCTAGATTGTTATAGATTGTGGTCGCGCCCCGCTGACATATTGAGCCTCCATCACGACATTTCCGGGTTATGGAACCGCGCGCGCCTCAGCCATGTATGTACAATGTCCGTGTCTCGTTTGACATGGCGATACTTTGGTGGCATGAAACATGCTCATTGAGGGTCCTGGGGCAGACGCCTGGGTTTGCTCGCTGATGCTTCGACATGGGGACATGGTGTCCTGGGCGCGGTGCCTCGTAAATTGCCATGTCCAAGTATCGCATGTGCTGAGCCCGTTCCTGCAGGTGAATTGCTGAACCCTGAGGCCGCGCCCGCCCCACGTTGGCTAGCGCGGGGCTCAAGCTGCATCCCTCACACGCCCAACCGCTTGGGCGGTGACGTCGCCCACTGCCGACTGTAAACACGGCCAAACATTTCTTGTCCACGGCTTCGTGAGTACGACCAGCCAGCCCGAAGACGACACAACCCGCACCATGGCCAGCAACATCCTGTTCCTTCCGTTCCGGCGCTCACACTCTGTGAACCTCACCGACGCCATCAAGCAGTACATATCCTCCAAATATGATCAGCATCCCGATATGTTCACCAAAGACCTCGAGACAATCGAGAAGCTGCGGTCCGTCGCCACACACGCCCAAGAACCCCATCCGAGCAACATCCCGAAGCTGCAGCAGTACGCGGCGCAGCTGATATGGCTGAGTGGAAAGTTCCCCATCGACATCGGCGTAGAGTTTCCCTGGTATCCTGCGCTGGGATACAACACGAGCCGCCCGACATCGCGCAACAACCTCCGCTTCGAACTCGCGAATATCATGTTCAACCTCGCGGCCATGTACTCCCAGCTGGCCATGTCGTCGAATCGAAGCACACCAGACGGGCTGAAAATGGCAGCCAACAACTTTTGCCTCGCGGCCGGAGTCTTGTCACACTTGAGGAATACTATCCTGCCGGAGCTACGGACAGAGCCACCCGAAGACATGGACCTCATGACACTCGAGTGCTTGGAAAAGCTCATGCTAGCTCAAGGGCAGGAGTGCTTCTGGCAGAAGGCTGTCAAGGACGGCATGAAGGACGCGACCATCGCCAAACTAGCCGCTCGCGTTTCCGATCTATACAACGAGGCGGGAGACGCAGGCATACAATCGGACGCTATCAGCAGCGAGTGGATACATCATATGACGGCGAAACACCACCACTTTGCGGCTGCTGCACAATACCGTGCAGCCTGCGATTCTCTCGAGAAGCGCAAGTATGGCGAAGAGGTTGCACGGCTACGCGACAGTCTTACGTGCGTCAACGAGGCTCTCAAGGAGCAGCGCTACATCAACAAAGTTGTGCTTGCAGACCTCAACGGCTTGAAGAATCGGATAACGGAGGACCTGAAGCGGGCCGAAAAGGACAATGACATGATCTACTTGCTACCTGTACCACCAAAGGCAGAGCTTAAAATCCTCGATCGAGCCAACATGGTAGTCTCGAGAGTCCCCAAGGAGATAGCCGAGTCCAATTCGATGCTGGGAGAGCGCGGCGAGCTTGGCCCAGCACTCTTCTCCAAGCTGGTGCCGTACTCGGTGCATCTAGCTGCTAGCATCTACGTAGACCGCCGGGATCGATTAGTCAACGGTACCATCGTAGAAGAGCTAGAGTCATTGACAAATAAGATTCACGAGGTACTCCGCAGCTTAAACTTGCCTGGCTCCTTGCAGGCTCTTGAGAAGCCACTAGGACTTCCCCCTGGTCTTGTAGCACACGCTGAGGAGATCCGTCAACAAGATGGCATCAACCGCCTTTTGCGCTCAATGGAGGATACGAAGAAGCTCATGTACACCGACCAGGCTATATATCAAGAAGGTGTCGATATTCTGAGGTCCGAAGCGACAGAGGACGAAGGCGCACGACGCAAGTTTGGCACCGAACGCTGGACACGGCCGCCCGCAGAGCAAGCCGCGCCTAAGCTCTATGCCCAGATCAACGAAATTGACGGCTACTTCAAGGCTGCCACTAACAGCGATAATATTGTGAAGACGAAATTGAAGGAGAATGAGCACTTCATACGGCTGCTCAGTGGACCAGATCACGAACTCGAAAACTATGTCCCAAGCGGCCGGAGACCTGCCATCACTGGCGATGTTGAGCGCGAGGCCGGTAAGCTCCGTGGCAGCTTCAATGAAGTCAGCAGGCTCGAGAGTAGGCGACGGCGGAAGATTGAGGCCTTGCGGACAAAGGCGAAGCAGGACGACATAAGTAAGTTCCACGCATCCCTACGTGCGCCATATCCTGACAGCAGGCTAGATCCGGAGCTCTTGCGCGAAGCCGCTCGCTTAGAACGGGAGTACCCTATGCAGACAATCGAGGCTGTGCAGTTTGAAGGGCTTTTCGACAAGCGTCTTCAGATGTACGATGCCGACCAAGACATGATCCAAGAAGAAGAGAAGGAGCAGGCAGAAGCTATCAAGCGGCTGCAAGACGCAAACGCGGCGTTCTTGATCGCTCGTCGGGGCGATCAATCCACCAAGAAGCGTGAGCAAGCGTTGCAGAATTTAGAAAACGCATACTTCAAGTACAAGGAGATCATCTCGAATCTCGACGTTGGGCGAAAGTTCTACAATGACCTAGCTAAGATCGTAAATCGATTTCGGGATGAGGCGCGCACTTTTGCTTACAATCGCAAGTCAGAAGCGTCACATCTAGAAAGGTATGCAGATGCAACGACTAGTTCCAACGCCTGTGCTAATGGATACAGCGATCTCACTACTCGAATGAGCTCCCTCGGCCTCCAGCAAGCAACGACGAACTCATTACATCAGCAGAAAGCGGCAGATGCACAGAACCCGCATTATGGTGCGACTGCACATGCGGAAGAACCTTTGGCAGCTCCGACGCCCACGAGAGCAAATGTACCCCCGCCGTCTGGTATGTGGACACCAGAAGTTGGAATCCGGTTTGGTGGGGTGCCTACATCATCCGGGAACGCTCGACCATCTGCTGGTCCTCCACAAGATGGGAGGTGGGACCCTGCACAAGGCCTAAAGTTTGGGTAGATTTGGCTGGCCTAAAGCGTCATGCTATTAGGAAAAGTAGTATATGGTCGAGATGTGGACAAGATGCACATGCACTTGCGCGGCTCTGCGAAAGCACATGATTGGCACCAAGTGTGCTATTATTATCGTAGCAAAGTAATGCATCTCACAACGTTGTCGAGCATAGGAGCGAGGGCTTGGTTTGTGGGGACATGGGAGTACGCCTTGAGAAAGTGCGCCTTGCGACGTTGGTTCGAGCGAGGCAGTGCAGAGAACACTCAGTGGGCCTACGGGTAATGACCTCAGGGACGCGACGGCTCGCCGAATGGCCTTCGCGCCAAAGAATCGCGCGGTGTGTGAAATTGGGCCAGTAGTATTGCCTGTCGGATTGGTCGCCGAGGGTGTGATTCGAACGTTTTGTGACGGCTCGGCATCACTTTGATGTTCTCGAGCGGTGTCGTCGACCGCCCGCTGTAGCCGGCTATTAGACGCTTCACCAATGGACGGCCCGCGTGAATGTGCGCAAGCTAAGTCGTTGTATAAGGCTGGGGCTGAGTGGGCAGTTGTACACAGTGATTCCCCAAGACCGAATGCCAGTAGCGGTCAGCTCTATTCCACCGAACCTAAACTCGCGAATTGCTTTGCGACTATCACGCGACAACGATCCACGTCGGCCAGCGCGTATCTCTCTCAGGGACTCGCAGCCGCGCTTGCTTGTCGCCATTGCTACAGCCAACGTCCAGCTCCCTCGCCCGCGTTGCTCCCGACGTCATCACCGGCGGGCAGAAGAACAACGCATAACGCATCCCCTAGCTCATGGTTTCACGTCTCTCAAGAGCCTGAAACCAAGGAACACACAAGGAACTTTGCAGCGGGCTCTCCCATTGCGGGGCTAATTATAGCGGACTAGGCCGCTTCCAGCGCCGTCGCTCTTCGTGAGGTGGGCTGTGTCCTGCGACCGACGACTACACTGCGCCTCCTTCACACTCACCAGCCTCAGCAGACAAGCCAGTAACCCGACGACATTGCGTGTTCCTGGAGGACATTGGACCACTCACAGTCGGCCGTTGATTCTTGGTGTCTACGAAGCTCTCCACGTTGGCCCAAGCGCGGGCTCCAGGGCTCCCTCCTCCACATCCCACCTATTCTTGGGCACACGCGAATCCAGTACCTACATCATGGATATCCAACAGCGAGGGCGCTCTCCCTCAGTAGGCCAGCGCATTCATAAGGCACACTCTCCCTCGCCCAGCCCACATGCGCCCTTCCAGCACCAGCACAACGTCGGCCTGGGCTTCGATCCTGCTCAAGACCCATCCTCGTACGCCGTCACCAGCGCGGGGTTGAACAACACGCACTTCCTCACCACGACCCAAGGCCAGCCATTCCCCCAGCAGAACACCTTTGCCGACCCGAGTTTCTTCCAAGCCACGCAGAACATCTCGCAGCACAACACTCCGCAATTCGGCCCCCAAGGCAGCAACATCTCGCCCGACCCACTCGACATCGCCAACTCCACCAACGCCGACTACGCCAACTTCTTCCAGGCCAACGATCTCGGCCAGAACCAGTCGCTGCCGTCGTATCTTGGGAATACGCTTGACCCGCACATGCTTGACAGCCAGTCGCAACACAATCAGTCCATCGACCCTTCCGATCTTATGCACCAGATGGCAGCCACACAGCACAACGCGCCTACCCCGCCGCACCTGCTGCCCAGCATGAACAACCACCATTCCCCGAGCCCACATGCTTCGCCGAACCTGAACCAAGGCCCCTTCAGATCACCCGGCCATTCGCGACACACATCGTTAGACCCCAGCGCAGCCTACGGTCAGATTACGGAATGGGGGCAGATGGCGGGCGGGTTTGGCCAGCACCGGTCGAGGTCTAGGGGCAACAGCGACGCTGCGTCCTCTGTGCACGCATCGTCGGTGCACAACTCGCCGTACCTGCACCACCAGGACAGCTTGGACAATGAGCAGCCGTCGCCCCTCATCAACGCACAGAACGACCCCCAGCTGTTCCAGGACCCTGTTCCAGGATTTGATCGATTCAACTTGAACAGCAGCAATGCGCACATGAGCGCGGGTAATAGTCCTCACATCTCGCCTCGTCTGCTTCCGCAGAATCAACAAGTCCTCCCTCCATTCCAGCCCGACACCTTTGGTCTCAACCAAAACCTGAACCCGTATGCGCCTCCAGATATGAATAGCTACCCAGGTCAAGCGGAGCCGTTCCCCTCCTTGAACCAACCTGTGCCTGAGTTTGGCCAGGCCGACGCCATGTCACCGCCGGAAATCAACATTGACTTCGCACCGCCTTCACGGCAAGCAAGCTTTGAGCCACCCAAGCCCGAGCATCAAATAGATGCGCTGAGTCCGCCAGACAGATGTAAGCAGTCCAACGAAACTAATCAACCATCTCTAACAGCGAAACAGCACGCAGCCGGAACAGAACCCGCGCCAGATCCGATCCCTTCAGCAGTGCTAGCTCGCGTGCATCAACACCAGGCTCGGACGTGAACCGCTCACTTTCCCCTCACGCTGCCAAGTCTCGTTCTCCTTCGCCCTCGAATAAATCCTCGCGCCGTTCTTCTACATCAAGCGTGCCCAATCGCGACTACATCTTGGATCTCGCAGATCCGTCGCGGCCTGCGCCCGCGGATGGCTCCAACCCAAAGCGCACACAGAAGCATCCGGCAACCTTCCAGTGCACGCTGTGTCCAAAGCGCTTCACTCGCGCCTACAACCTCCGATCGCATCTGCGAACACATACGGACGAGCGTCCGTTTGTGTGCAGTGTCTGTGGGAAGGCCTTTGCGCGCCAGCACGATCGCAAGCGACATGAAGGTCTCCATTCGGGCGAGAAGAAGTTTGTCTGCCGTGGCAACCTCAAGAATGGCAACAACTGGGGCTGCGGTCGGCGTTTTGCCCGTGCGGATGCTCTTGGACGTCACTTCCGATCTGAGGCAGGCCGAGTGTGCATCCGTCCGCTACTCGAAGAGGAGGCGCGCGAGAAGGGTGAATGGGATGGCCAAAACCAGCAGTTAAACAATGGCAATGGCATGTTCGCACCAATGCCAGCTCAAAACTTTGGTAGCATGATGCCCGGGCAAACTGGCTTCGAGTCGTTCCCTCAGGCTGGTGGCATGCAAGCCCCACAGCCGTTCCTGCCTGCTGCCATTCTCGCTCAGTACCCAGCACTCGCGGGCATTCAGTGGGATCAGCTCCCGGCCGGGCCGCCTGATGACGATGGCGATATTAGCGGTCGCAGCAGTTTCGATGCTTCTAGTGGAGGCGAGTACTTCGAAGAAGAGAGCGACTACCAGCAGGGCGGTCAACAGCCCATGTACGCTGGTGGAAACAACAGCGGGTGGGTGAGCGACTCGTACGATGGACGCTAACCTTCCTTCTTCACGCTCTCCTTTCTCTGGTGGCCCTCATCTCTTTACGATTCTGCAACGCATTCACGACTTGTTTCTACGAACCATGTGCGCCTGTGCCTTCTGTCAATTCATGTTCTTGTTTGGATACCACTTTCATTGCTTCGTACGCGCCCAAGGGTCATTGATACCCCCGGATTGGAGACTATCAGGGAGTTTTATTTTGGAGATTATGGGCCTCGACGCCTGCTTGTAGCCGTCTTTGCTCAGTGGCGTTCTAGTGTTTGATTTAGACGGGAGTATATACCACACGAAATGCGGCTTCAAGCTTTCACTTTGATCCTTCGTTATTTGAGATGTGATGTGACTGGTGCCTTGGCTACGCTGAAAATTATCTTGATGTATGTAACTTCACTTATGCAGCATGGGTCACCAGACGAAGATCGGATCTGATTGTTCCTTCAGTCGAGCCTGATTTGCAACGGGTATTCGCCTGTGTTGCTGTACCACACGCATGTCAAAGCAGGTATGCGAGAGTTTTTGGCATGCTTACCGCTTGCACATTTCGTAGGACATGTGGGAATACGTGCCAAGGGGAAGATGCTCGTCATAAGCTGGTCTTTGTGTTATATGCGTCCTAGTCTTCACGTCTTATAACTCCGAACATGCAGAGCCAAAGACGCTATTTCCTGCAAAATGTGAATTTTAAAAATGTAATGTGCAAATAGTTATAAAAATCGAACAATCACGTAGAAGACATAGTTTCCACGTGCTTTGCAACAGCAAAAAAGGAGAGTGGGCCTGACCGGGATTCGACTTCACAAACGTTAGATTCTAAACTTCACACATTCAAGACTGTGCAACTTACACCCGGGGCCTGTCACATAACAGATACTCTGTATCCAGGAGAAGTTTCCCGAAGCGACAATCATACCACTAGACCATCAGGCCGACTTTTGTCTTGTTGATGACAAATTTTGAAAGTAAATAATACTCAGCCTTAGCCATAACGTCTCAAAAGGACATTGCGAAGACCCATGGAAAGTCATTGGGTAGGTGGAGTCGCGTGGGCATGTTGGTTTGAGGCGGCTGGTGCAGATTTGGTACGTCGACACGGTGCGTAGTGGGGCAGTGGTATATCTTAGTCAGGGTGGGACGCTTCTAATCATGGACTTCACAGCCTCACTTTACTCCTTTGGGAAGACTTTGCGAAAGAAATCTCGAACTTCTGGTCGACCTTGACCGTCTGTGCTGCAAACGTTGATCGTGAGGACAGCAGGATCAAGCGGCACACCCAGCACAACATCGAGATGCAGACTGCCCAGCACAACACCATCACGACCAGATTGCATCGTATTTACATGCAAGGTCGGCATGCAGGTATCACAAGACCCCGATCTTGACGTCTTGGTAAAACAGAATAGGCTGGGCGCATCTCCTTATCGCACGCCTCATTTGCCCAGTAAAGTGTCACCGAAGCTTATGCGCACTGGGTGGAGAGCCGATCATACAGGCACAACTACGTCCTGTGCATGGTGACGGGAGGGAGCCGACATCGCTAAACCTATGGCGATCCCCCCTGCAACTGTGCGCTCAACAACTGCTACACCGACATTTTGGCGCCGTTGCGTTCAAGGTGAACGCCATCACGAACGAACATGCTGTGCGTGGACGTTCAACGACTATCATCTTTTTACTTTAATCGAGTGCCGTAGTCACAGTCAAGACATCAGACGGTTTATTTGAGCACGCTGCGACCATGATCAAAAGTGCGGGGGAGACGTGCTGGGCATGCTAGAGTGGGTCCCTTCCATTGGTTCGGGCCAGCCCTTGTGCCACATGCAGTATAGTACATGGCCCAAGCCCCCCCTCAGCAAGCTCCCATCCACTGAGCACCACGGAGTCCAACGCTGCATCCCCGATGTGCCCAGTCGTTATGAAGTGAACAATCCACGAGGGTGTCCTGAGTCGTTGTACAGCACAGCTCACTGACCGCTCTCTGTAGAGATTCCAGAACGCAGGCTAAGCAATCCGAAGTGGTCGCCGCTGCTGTATATGTGAGGCTCGAGGGCTTAGAAAAGGCAAAGCTTCCCCTCACTGTGTCGCGAGCTCAGCTATCATTCCTGTCCTCTCAACACCTGTTCCTGTCTATCGGTTCGCCTGATAGTGCTTCCCATTGCCCGCCGCCTTCCGAAGCTTGCTGACGCCCGCATCTCTGCGTCACTGAAACCTTATCGTCTCATAATCTACCACTAATTGCTTGTATTGCTTCTTTCACATACTACTACTTGTTCCTCTCCGCGCGCACTTGCGTTTCGTTCACACCAACTCCCCATACCTCAACACTACACACATCTTCGCAATGGCCGCCTCAAAACCTAGCGTTCGCCTCATCAGCGCCCTCGCCGGCCCCCGCCTTCTGGGCCCTCGTCTCACAGTCCGCCAACTGTCAATGACAGGTTCGACTGCCTCTTCGTCGCTCCTCACAACCGACAAGCCCTATGCCTCAAATCGCTCAGCGGGACCCATCCGCCTTCACGGCGAGCAGACCATCCCAGTCCCCGAGGCTACCGAGACTGGCAACAAAGTCCGTCGCTTCAACACATCGAGGAGTTTGAAGTCCGTTGGCGATTCCAGTACGTTGGACTTCATGCACTTCCCGGAGTTCGACCTGGAGAGCCGAAGTGCGCCAATGGGCATCAGAGTCCCTATCATCCCATGGGCCAACGTTGCCAGCCGCAGTGCTGAGAGCGAGGATTCCGTAAGCCTTGTCCCGATCTTGGTCTTCTGCTTATCACGCAGGAGTGCTAACGGTATACTTTCTAGATCCCCATGCAGCCCACAATCTACACCGTCTCCGCTGACGGCACCCACATCCACTCCCCTTCCGCAATGGCTGAAGTGACCGACACAAACCAGTCTGGCTACCAGGGCATCGCTGAGGCTGTCGCCAACAAATTCACCTCTACCCGCGAGGAGGGTGAGGGTATGGTAAAGCAGATCTGGAATGACCTCATGGAGGATCTCGCTGATCTTGCGAGTGGCTCAAAGCGCGGCTCTAACAAGGCTTAAGTGGGTTGTACATACGCTGTCATGACTGCCGTCGGCGAACGGCGGTTTTGGTGGTTACGTGGGCTTCAGACTGTACTGGACTTCCGATGGCTATCGGGTGGGTCTAGGGTGTTTGGTCAAAGCATATTTTTGCTTTCTTGGTACTGTGGAATGGAAGGGTCTAGCGCGAAGTGCTCGGGCTTATGAGATCACGAAATACATTTTAATCGCTCTTTGACCAGTGTCTCTATTCCTTTGTTCCAATATTTTGATGTGATTGTGCACTAGAATAGGGTTCTCCCCCCACCTCGTACAAGGATGTAACTGAACAGGCCTAAGGCCTACATTGGGACGACAATACGCAAATGAGAAGAGGTAGCGTTGATGTAGGCCTCAGTGTTTCTTCCTTGCTTTGATTGAGTTTTACTCAGTGCGCAAGTGCAGTTCTCATTGACAAGGAAATGCAGAATGATGGCCATTAGGACGGTAAGCGTTGAATCCTACCATTATGACCGGAGTTGTCGAGTTCTCTCATCGAAGACCTCCAAGTTCTTCCATCAGTCCACAAAGAGCCCGCACAAGAGGTGGCCCAGTTTCGCGATCCACATCGGGATGCGTTGTATCGAGAAGCATGACGCCCACCTTCATAACCTGCGAAGGATACTTGAGATTGCAGATTTCAGGCCGAGTGACCGCTCCAGACTCTGATGCCACTGGTTGGTGCGTAGAGATGATGCGAAGGCACGGTATACCGCTGTTCGTGGCAATGAAGGCATTGACGCCAGCCTGGTTGTCAGAGGCGGCATCATCAAGGTAGATAACCTTGCTCGGAAGCGAACTTGGCCGTGTGCGCATCGGCGTCGTAGTGCCGGTCTTCTTGGCCAGGTCGCACATCATCATGCTGTATGTCCAGAGGACCATGATGGAATGGTACAACATGAAGGAATCTGCACCGCGGATCTGGTATGGCGGAATCTGTCGCGCAGCTCGTACCACCTGTCCAGCATGCCAGATTGCGACCCTGGCCTCTTTGGTTTGACTCCAGGGCGAGAGATGAGTGTACGCGCTGTTGGCAGCACTCTCACCGCATTTGCCGGCGAAACGCGTGATTAGATCGAGATTGACGTGTAGGTACATTTGCAAGAACTGATGGAACAGACAAGTCACTGCTGGAAATTTGCCAGGCAGAAAATCTTCGCGTTGCAGATAGTGGTATCTATGGAAGATTGTCAGCTTCATCAACCATGCGAGAAGATATACCAACAGTTTTTCCTGCCGAGAACGAGCCCAGAGCTGTGAGGAGGCGTCGCTGCTCTCATCCATCAGCGCAGATTGCTGTGTATACTCCCAAATCTGAGCAGCAATGCCATGTAGATAGGAGGAGTGAGCGACTTGAATGTCGATGTTGGCAGGAAGACAGCGTATGGCAGCTTCGTCTTTTAGAAGCGTTTGAAGTGAGGGAGGACTGGCGACGACGTCCATGTCAAGATAACGCATTCGCCATGTCTCTGCTGCGGGCGCCAGCCAAAGCGTCTTTGAGGCAGGCAACATAAGGGTAAGTTCAGCGTAGCTGATCAGTGGCGGGCGATGCTTCGCCATAGTCATGTGAATGTCGTGCTCGAACAAGTGATATACCAACCTGTCTGTATTAGGTGCTGGGTAAAGAGAGTCCACTGTGTCTGTAATACCTCTTGTAGGATTCTTGCTCCACCCACTGCTTCCACTTTGCATGTAGTTCCTCGTCGCCATCCTCAGCAGATGGTGTAACTGCAGGATACCGGATATGATCGAATCTACCGGCGCGCCGTAGTGCCTATAGAGTCAGCGTGCATTATGTGATCAGATCAGAGCTTATTACCGTGACAAGAGACTGCAAGCTACTCTCCGCAATTTCCATCTTCCTCCTGTACCCACAGAATGCCCCGATATCAAGCCAAAGCATCGAAGCTTGGAGATATTCAAGATCACGTATCACACTATTATCGTTCTCGGACTAGAGATATATCAGACGCCGTTCGCTTCGGTATTAAGCCTGATTTTGGCGAAAACTTACCAGCCTGTTCAACGCGACTCGGACTATCTCCTGTAGCGCCAAGCCTGTCCTGCTTACCGAGAGTACACCAAAGCATACACATCCGGCTGCCACCAAGGCAGTGAGATATTCTGGCCGGGCAGTCTCGCTTTCAAAGGTATACGGATGGATCCATGCATCGGTCTCAGTTCTTTTTGCAATCCCAACCTTGATCAGTTTGTCGACGCACTCTGCCGAAGGGAAAGACGGAATGGTGATATGGCTTTGTGCAGTCTTTGACACGAGCTGGAAGATGCGGTCACGGGCTGCCGGTGATAGCTTATCGGGGATCACGACATTGGAAGAATACGGCATATGTGGTGACGAGGCGAGGTCTACGTTACGCTCGTCCAAAGCGATATTTTCGTGCTCGCTGAAAGCGTGCTGGTTACGCTCGGGGATCCAGTACCTAAAGCGGGTCAGCGCTGAATGGTCTATTAGTCAGTGTAATTTACCAGGCAGACTGTTTGAAGACTGCATGGCGCCTTTTCGCAGAGTTGCTATCAATCTTCTCATGAGAGACATCTGTATTGGTAGGCGGCGTTGCAGAAGGCAAGGCAGTAACCCGCGGTATCTCTGCTTCTAGCATCTGACTGACAGTTGGGGTGAAATCGTTGCCAAAAATGTCAACTTGACCAAGCCAGTCAGTCTCCGGCATCCAGGCCGTCAGATCCGGAGGCGGCTGCATGTAGTCACTACCCAAAAAGTCTGGTGCGGGAACCATGATTTGTTCGAAGAAGGCCGGGATGGTATGCTGGGTATAACCAGTGGTATTGTACAGATCGAGTAGAGCTTGCGCCTCAGTGTTGGTCTCATTGAGATAGACATTGTTCAATTGTATGTCGTCGTCAAATTGATATGGATTATTTTGCTCTTCAACAGATACTGCAAAAGCTTGCGTTGATTGTTCTCCTGCTCTTGCTTGAGCAAGCGGTGACGTCTCGGGCGACTTTGTCAGGCATGGTAAGCTTTTCTTTTGGCACCGTTTGCATGGCCTTCCATTGTCGCATTTGACTTTTGATACGACGCAGGAGTTACAGGCCTTCGTGGCACGTTCTGCTACGCGATATGGGCCCACGAGCCCATCTTTGGCATTCTTTGAGTGGGTTGCTTGATGCCTGAGTAGCAGATCCCTTCGGTTGAACGCTGCAGGACACTCCTCGCAATGAAACGATCTCTCGTTGCGGTCTGCGCATCGTTAGGATTTCGCTGAGTGATGGCCAACGGTGAGCGAAACTCACGTGAGTCCAGATGTCGGTTCAAGTGGTCGGCACGTTCATATGATCGGTGGCAGACTTGACACTGAAGTCCACCGATTGACGCATCGGAAGCCCGCTTACGTTTCGAGGGCCGCGCATTCGTTGGGGTCACCGCTATCTCGACGGACATGATGATTCAAGGACTGAAGAACGGAAATGTGGGAGACGAGTAGGTAGTTCAAAGTGCATCAGGGCTTCCGACTGTCGGAAAGTGGGCGCCCCTACCCTCGTTCAGATGCGGGGTGTGTCTGGACCGTTACATCAATCGAGCCGACGGCATATCAATTGCCGAACCTCCAACATCCTCGGGAGTAGTCACGTTTCACACTGCAAGCCTCACTCAACAAGCCATGTCACCTATGTCTACAATTGCAGCAGAAATATGGATTCAGAGGGCACGGCTCAGATGTCGCCAATACTCATGTCGAACGAAGTGTGGAACCAAGTCTAAGCCACTGCGGTTGTTTTGAGACCAACTGTTATTGCTGACATGGAACGCCTTTGCTCCCAATCATGCACTCCCCGATAGGTGCAGTTGTAATCCATGAATTCATCGGGGTTCCTGTCCCAGTTAGATCACGTCGACAAACCCGCGCGACTTGAACTCACATCTTGACCACATTGCTGCCTCGTTCCGTTGCAGGCTTCGCAGCTTCGCGGCTGAATCGCTGTATCAAGCTTGCACGTTCGTGTCTACTTTTGAAGACGTCTTCTAGGATCGAAGACACTTCGTCCTTGGACGGTCTATCAATGATGTGACCGAAGAGCGTTCCTAAAGCTTCCGCGTCCTCGATGGTTTGGCTTGCGCCTTGGCCTTGAGTTGGTAGCATAGCATGCGCCGCATCTCCAATGAGAATCGCGCGTCCAGAGTGCCATTTATCTAGCGGATCCAAATCGCGCAGTTGCCAAAGGCCTATGCTTTCGGCATTCCGAAGTGCATCTTTGGTCCAGCTGGGAAATTCCTTGAATGTTTCCAACATCTTTTCAGGATGTCCTTTCGTTACCCATGACTGCGCTTCGTCGGAATTCTCGTTCATCTGCTCGTCCGGTACCAGTCCGACGATACTGTAAAGCGATCCGCCGCGTGCAGGACCCATGATAAGTCGACAAGAGTGTGCCATGATCATAGAAGTATAGGGCTCCTCTGGGTTGATGTTTGCGAAGAATTGCGGCGCGCGTTCACACAGAATCGCAGTTGGTAGCATGAGTCGGTATGCTGAGGAACCTGTGGGCTTCGGATGAGCCGCTTGACCGAGTACAGAAGTACGTAGAGCACTGTGGATGCCGTCCGCGCCAATGACAAGGTCTGCTTCTAAACGCTCACCATTTTCAAGTATGACCTTGCCTTCTTCACAGTCACACCGAGAGACTCGTGCTGAAGTACGCAGTATGGCGGGCTGACCGTCCCGTTCGATGCCTGTAGCTGTCTTCTTGAGATAGGTGTGGAGATCTTCGCGGTGCCACATGATGCGGTCCGCGCCATACTGGGTCTTGCTTCGTAGAGGAATTTCGTTCACCATCTCGCCGTCAGTACTGTAGATCCTGAATCCGTGGTCAACCATGCCGTTCGAGCCGTCGAGCAGGTCTGTCAACCCCCACGACCGCTCCAGAATCCTTGTGGCATTGGGCTGTAGCGAGATCGTAGCGCCGATCTCTGCGCTGAGACGAGATTGTTCGAGGATCGTGATCTGACGATTATTCTTCCGAAGGGCTATAGCTGCTGCCAATCCTGCAATACCACCGCCCACAATGATGATCCGAAATGGTGTTGACGATGACATTGGGAGCGCAGTCATGGGTGTGCAGAAAGAAAAATTGATGGAGTGTCCAAATATTGTGCCGGAGGTAAGTAAAACATGCTGGTGGCGTACTCCGGGAAAGCGGTTGACTGATAATCGATAACCTCCTGCCGTCCTAGCACGGGAAACCTTCTGGAATTGATCTCTACCCTCCACTTTACGAGATCTTCTACAAACTTCCCCGCAATCTGTATTCAGATCTATGCATCTCGCACGCGCCATCATAAAAATCGGGGTTCGGAGAGGTGGGCCTTGACACGTTCGGCCCGCGTGGGCAACGCCAAAGGTTGCAAATCGCACAGGCGCCCAGATATTGCCCGAGAAGAATGTTGAATATGATCTCCAAGCCAGTCTTCACAACCCAGTAATCAAGTTTCATCCGATTCGGCAAACAGCCCTAAGACCAGTAAACCCATCGATATGATCTCTACCGCAACGAAGACAGCGTCCGTTACGCTGAAGGCCGTTGACGATCAGCGCATGAGAGTGGACGGCTCGGATACGACGTTCGGCGACTGGAGGGACGACCTGGCTAGAGATGGCTATGCAGTCATTAAGCGTGCAATTCCGAAGGAGAGGGCCGACAAGTACGCAGACAAGATGTATAGCTGGTTGGAAGGATTGTAAGCACGAGCACCAACATTATATCGCAAAGCACTCACAATCTTCAGCAACCTTGGCTACGACCGCAATGACTTGTCCACGGTCCACAAAGACAAGCTTCCGTTGATCACTGAAAAGGGCATGTGCCTGCAGTATGCTGTTACTCACGAAGACTTTGCTTGGGCAATCCGAGGAGAGCCTGGCGTTGTTGGAGCCTTTGAGAAGGTTTATGGTACCGAAGACTTGATCGTGTCGTTTGATGCAATCAACTTCACATTGCCGTATGTTAGGTGCATCCATGTCCCGAAAAAGCTGACAGTCACTCTAGTCGCTCAGACCTTGCACCAAACAAGCCGTGGCCTCACCAAGACCAAGATCCCCTGAAACCTGGGTTCAGATGTCTGCAAGGCTTGGTAAATCTGCTTCCCAATGGGCCAGAAGACGGCGGATTGATCGTGTGTCCGGGCGGACACCTGCTGTCCGACGAGTTCCATAAAGACATGGCGAACGAGGACCGCATTCCAGCGTGGACACCAGAGTGGTATGGCTTCACTGAGAACGGCATGAAATGGCTCGAGAAGAAAGGCCTGAAGTGGGTGAAGGTGTGTGCAGAACCCGGCGATCTGCTGGTATGGGACTCCCGTACCCCTCACTACAACCTGAGCTCCAAGACGAACCAGCCTCGTTTTGCAATTTACACATGCTACATGCCTGTGGAAGATGCCACTCAAGAGGATTTGCGCAGGAAGAAGGATGCGTACGAGCGCTGGGTGGGAACGACCCACTGGCCAAACGCTAGGCACACAGGCTCAAACATTGCGAAAAGAGACGGAGTGGACGACCCGCACAATCGGTTCGAGCCGGTGAACAAGCCGGTCATGGATGAGAGGACATTCAAGCTAACTGGCATTCCGTATATCAAGGCGGAGGCCTAAGTGTAACAATGGCTTGATGTTGAAGCGCGTCCAAAGTGGTGAATGAGTAGTCCCCAACGCGCCTGACCGTGGTTCGCGTCGCTAGCGTGGCGCGTTAGTCCACGTTAGGTCGCTTTCTCTCGCTAGCTGAAATGAAAATTGATGACATCAACGAAGCTTCCCCAACGTGTCCGTCTAACGCTCATTTATCACGGCCTAGCTCAACAACCAGATAGAGGCGTTGAATACGACCACTAGATTCTATTCTTCATTCCGATCACAATGCGCTGCTGTCCAGAGAACTCAACCTGGTGCCAACAACATGACGCGCTGACGCACCTATCAACAAAGAAGACCTATACAACACCGACACTGACAGTGCTATACAAGGACATGGCCCCCATCCGTAGCGACTGTAACATAGCAGCTTTCCCAAGCTGCCGTTGAAGGGCCACCTTAGGGAGATACAACATCTTGAGGCCAACGCTATGCTATTGACAAGACTGCTCATGTACGTCGCTGGCCCACTTCTATCAGAAGCGTCACTGATCAGGCAAAAGCAGTATTACAACATGACTCGATACGGTTTGAAAGCCGATCAAGGGGTTTACAAGCGACATCCACATTCAACACATCTGAAAACTAGACTAGGACGTACGCGCTTCCCTAGCCACGCCAAAGCGGCAACACAACAGCCTCGCTGCAACGCCAATCGGACACAGCTGCGCTCACCTGCCTGGTATCTCCATAGATCTTCCGCCGATGTGACACGAACATACGACAGACTGTCTTCTCAGTGCGACATTGAAGGGTGACCTGACGCCTTCTTCATCGCCCATTTGCCGGTATAGGCCCTGATCTTCTTACCATACAGGAAGACGGGTATGCCCAAAAGGCCGAAAAGTGCTGTGAGTCCGGCGTACGTTCCGAATGTCCCGTCGTAGCCATCGGTCTCGATGAACTTGGCGACACCATAGCTGGTCCCAAAAGATACGAAGCCTCTAAGAGCTGTTATGACGACAAGAATAGGGCCTGCGCGTGCTGGGTCTAAATGTAGATATGCAAAGTCAGTGTATGTCTCACATGCCGTCCATACGGAAACACTTACAGGAATCAAGAAGGTATGTAATTGCAGCGATGTTGGCGCCAACGAACGCGAAGTAGTACGCTGCATTCGCGAAGACGAAAACGAACCAGTGGTAATCTCCTGGATTTTGCGCTGCCAGGCCGTACAGCGTGGCGGCAAGGCACCCACATAGCAGGGGGATCCAGAGCAGCAACAACCGATTTTCAGGTTCGTGAACACCACCATTGCGCCTTGCTCGCCACTTGATTATGATATCGCTGCCATTACCGAGAAGTGGGAGTGCCACAAAGGCGACAACGATCTGCCCAGCATTGACGTATGATACGGAACTGTCCGACCAGTTGTACGGAGGCGCATGTACTATAGTGCCGTATGTCGTTCCAATGGCGATATTGACGCCAATAGTAAGACCATTTAAGCAAAAGGCCCAAAGCACATTGGGGAACAACATGACCTGGAAGGTGTTGACGAAGCCGTAGAAACCTTCCATCCATTCCGGTTTGTTGACAAAGATGCGCATATCTGACCAGATAGTGCGGGGACGGAATTTTGTGGTATCCAGAGGAGGTCTTTCGGAAAGCTTTGCCGGCTGTGGTGCGGTCGCCCTACATCCTTCTAGCTCACCTCCTTCTTCGGCCGAGAACTGACCATAAGCAGTCAGAGGGCGATCGTACTTTGACTCAGGAACCCAGAAAAAGGAAGCGATGGATGTGGCTGCGCAGAGGCCGGCGCCTAGGTAATACCAATTGGATGGGCCGACCGCTGCAGCAATTGGTGATGCGCAGATGATGTACACGGCTGACAGAACTGTTTGCGTAGCAGATTGCCACATCAGGAAAGTACTGCGCTCGTGAACGAAATGAATCTCCTACATCCTGATTAGAAATCGTTCCTCGTACTCTTGTCTTGAAATTCTTACCTGAATCATCATGGGGACCAGTGCCTCGCTTTGACCTGCAGCAAACCCGAGGAGCATCCTGGCGCCAAGGTGTTCGTTGTAGTTTTTGGCATTTGCGGCCCAGACGGCTGATGCCATTAGGAGCAACAGCGACAGAAGGTAGACAGGGCGTCTTCCGATTGCAAGAGCGAGTGGCATGCAAACCAAGTTTCCTACACCCATGAACATTGAAGGGTACGTCATCAACGCGGTAATGTCGGCTGCGCATCTAGTCAGCGCTGTCAGAGCACGTAAGGAACTGAGACGACTGACCATATGTAGCTCCGGCTGCGGCATAGATAGGGATATACCAGGTGAGGAGGCCACCAAACCCGGAAACGAGTGAAAGACCCAGACTGGAGAAGATTGAAACCAATACGATGAAGAGGATCTTGCGAAACTTCGACAAATTCAGCGGATCTAGTGAGAAGACTCAGTACGAAAACCGGCTAACTGCATGTAATGGAGTACACAAACCTTGAGGATCAGCGCTAGGAGCTGGGATCAAGAAGATCTCGTCGAGGTTGGTGATGGTCACAGTTCCCATCGCCGCAGACTCCTGAATAGGCTTCACGATGCCTGTCTCAGCATCTGAAACAACCTCATATCGTTCGACTTCGGTCTTCATGGCCTTCGGGGTCTTGATATCGTCGAGCATCTTCGCGAGATAAACGATATTCTCGCGCTATAGCACAATGATAGTGAAGTAAACGGAAATGTAAACCCGCTCGTCCAAACCGGAAGAGCACAGATGACGGTTAACTTCGATGAGAGGTTACTCTGTGCGCAGAGAGGTGGTTATATCTGAATATGGGCTTCGGCTCCTCTTCTTCAGCGTTCATCTATTGGTACGTGGCACTTCTTCTTGTCGTCTAGCTCGCGTCCAGACTCGTGCCACGGCCGACAATTTCGTTGGCGTTTCCAAGCCTTGGTCTGGACATCAATGCCACGTTCACATCCCGGCTGAGCTGAACTCCACTTCACGAGCATTACGCGGCAGTGTCGCGCGAATGTCTATCTGGGGTTTCTGGCATGACTGTGGGGTAGGTAATCCGGGGTAGCGCATGCATCGGAGAGTGGGCTAGCTCGCGGAAGGAGGGCCATATTCAACCAATCAGTATCGTGCAATTCGCAACCATTCTTGGCTTCACCTTCTGCGCAGCGCAATTGCCGAGTCTCTTTGCAAGTGTTTACAGTCGTCTCGAGCGGCCTATGCACTGTCGCAAGCGGAAACCATACTCTGCAGGGGGTGCGCGGCGGTCCCATCGCTATGCTAATGCACGAGTCGAAGTCACCGCTATCATGTCATCATAATGTTCTGCGTCCACGGACGTGACATTTGCATGTGCAGAGTGTATCACAGCAAGCATGTGCAGAAACAAAAACTAAGTGACGCAGCTTAGATGAAATTGTGCTATATGTTGGGCTCATTCAAAGCTTTATGCAACTTGAACAGGAACAAAAGGCAGTATGATCTTGCTCGGCGTGTCTGATCCGACATGTATTCTGTGCTCGCCCTTGTTCTTCTCATGTTCCGGTCGCGGTTTCGAGAAGGCCGTGTACTCCGCAATACTAGGAAACTCACCGGAGACCTGAACGCTAATCGATTCTCCTTCGTCAAAATCGACACCCATAGACCAAATACCGATCTCCAGCTTCACAGTCTCACCTGGTGTGATCTTCTCTTCCTTCTCGTGGGGATGGAATGGAAACTGCTCGTGGATGCTTCGTGCCGTGTCGAATGCCCGGTGGCTGGCACGCAAAACACCAACACTGCCCAGGTGCAGGTTCAGGCTCGCGCGTTCCTTCTCTGGGATATCATCGATACTTTTGTAAGCTGAGGGTATCGCCGAGAATGGGAAGCAGAGATGCATAAGCAGCTTTCCGTCCTTATCTTGCTTGCGCAGGATGACAAAGACGTTCATGTCGTCGTGTGAAGGAGCTGACATGTACAAAACAGCTTTCGGCAGGCCAATAAGCCGCGACTTTTGCGTAAACTTGTAGGTGAATTCGGCGATCGACTTCGAGTCTTGCGAGTCGTAGCTGACCATCTCCGTCTTGGATGGAGGTTTTTCGGTCAAGCCGGAGCCGGACAGATAAAACTCCTTGTACTGGGTCTCTGGAACCGGGAAATCCGAGAATTCGATGCCATCAATAGCTTCACGGTCGCCAAATTGGAGCGCTGACCATCGTACCCTGGCCATCTTCTCCCAGTCGTTGTCGATGCCCCGGAGATACTTATCGAAGTAGGTATGCAGTTCCTTATCCGCGTGAGGATCACAGTATAACTCGAACCATTCCTGGTGTGAGCTCCATCGAATCCACTTCTTGTCATGAGGTACTTCGAGCCATCCGCGTACGGAGCCCATTGTATGGATGCTGGAAAAGTCGCTTCCGCTGATGAAGACAGGAACTTCGATCTTTGTCATATCAGGGCGCTTGTCGCTCCAATACGCGTTTGCTACAGGCGACCGTCGATGCATCTCAGCGAAGTCCTCGATGCCGCCGCCCGGATTGTTCGTCTTGATGATGAAGTGGGTAATGAGATCAAAATTTGACATGCTGAAGACGCCACCTCGACAGAATTGCTCGCGGTAGATGTCGCCAGATCCTTCCCAGGGTGCAATAGCGGCAAGGTGTGGAGGTCGTAGGGAGGCAACATGCCACTGGATGATTGCCAGCGCACTGTTGCCGGCCATGCCTACTTTGCCATTACTCCATGGCATCTGGGCCACAGCTTCGATGACGTCGTAGCAATCTTCTGCGTCTTGAGAGCCCATGATCTGCCACGATTAGCTAAATAGTAGAGTTTGCAATACGGAACATACTGGTATGGAACCGTCGCTGTTGCCCGTGCCGCGAGAATCTACCGAGATGATCGCATAACCACGTGGACACCATACAACTGGATCAAGTCCCTCGAACTTCTCCAAGCCGCTGAGCGCTTCGTTCGGCACACAGCAATTCCAAACGCAGATTGGAAGCATGTGTAGAGCGGAATACTTCTTGCCGTAGCATGACCAGCTTATCACTGCTGGTAGCTTTTCGTCTTCGGGAACGTCAGCGGGCCGGTAAATGTCGACATAAAGGCGGCATCCATCTCTGACCAGGATCTCGACATCGTGATCAATTCGTATGTCAGATTCGAGAGGGCGGGCATTGTACGGTTTAGCGCCTTTGCGAAGAACTTCGGTTTTGCCGGGTGTGAAGCCTTGGTAGTTGTTCACACCCGGCTCAGGCTTCGAGATGGGCTTATAGGCCACTTGCATAGCGACTGGCATCTTTGATGTTGGCAACGGGGGAAATTGTGGGCGTGGAAGAGAAAGAGAATTGTGAGCGCAATCAGTAAAGATACTAAGGTCTGTGACAGCTACTTGAACAACAAACAGATCTACCCGCAACGCGACGCGTCGAATGCACTTTGCAACGTAGTGGCATCCACCTCGGCAAGCGTCCCTATCCCGAAGTTCTGTCCGTCCCCCACACGCCCCGAGTCCCACATATTCTGCAGCGTAGACATCGCGGGGTATGGCGCCCACATGTGCCGAGACGGTCGGCAACACTGCCCCGGCATCTCAAGACAATGACTATTGTCCCGAAAACAACATCATACAAGCTCTCCTTCGCCTTTTAACATATAACATCACTTCAGTATAATCGAGGCCAATTCCAACACAACTTCATTCCAACACGGTTCCGCAGTCTCCAGCATTTGATCGCTACTGAACTCATCACTTACAACACGCATTCAAGCTCTCGTCCTAATAAGATGGCGCCTCACGCCGAAGAGCCAAAGCCAGATAGCGGTGTTGATCTGATCTCGTATGACGGTACCGTATATGGCGACTGGCGCGACGAATTTCACAAGAACGGCACAGCAATCATCAAAGGCGCCATCTCACCGGAACGCGCAGAGTACTACAAGCAAAAGCAGATTGAGTGGCTTCAGTCCTTTGGTCGTGGCTTCGATCCTAACGATGAGTCAACATGGACACAAGAGCACCTTCCTGTGAGCTTCAAGGGCGGGATGTACTTTGCCTACTCTAGCACACACGAAAAATTCGTTTGGTGAGTCGTCAATGCCATGCGATGTCTGCAACATACTAATGCAGATTTAGGGAAGCTCGCACTGAGCCAAAAGTAATCGAAACCTTCGCCAAACTCTGGGGCACTGAGGAGCTTCTCTGCTCATTCGACGGCATGAACATCACACTGCCGCGCCAGAAAGATCTCAAATGGAGCCCCTGGCCGCACTGCGATCAGTCTCCTCACCGCAAGGGCATGCAGTGTGTGCAAGGCCTATTGAACTACCAACCGAATGGCTCTGATGATGGTGGTTTGATCTTGATGAAGGGCAGCAGCAAGCTGTATGATGAGTTCTTCCGCGAGAAGAGGGAGCAGGACAACCATGAAGACAAGCCTCCGGAGGAGGAGGACTTCAAGGATCTTTTCATCTTCAAGGAAGAGGATGTCCAGTGGTTCAAGGACCGCGGATGCACACTCGAGAAGGTAAACCTTGAAGCTGGTGACCTGGTACTGTGGTATGTTCTTACCATCTTTCCTCCCCTATTTGGTACTCGAGTTAATGTCGCGCAGGGATTCTCGCACCATGCACTACGCCTGCTTTCCGCAAGGCAACCACATCCGTCATGTTCAGTATGTCTGCATGACGCCCGCCAAGTTCGCGAAGAAAGAGGATCTTGAACTCAAGGCCGAGCTCTTCAAGACGTGGCAGGGTACGACGCACTGGCCGCACTGCAATATCCGCAAACAGGGTCCACCAGAGAGAGATGGCAAGCCAGATCCGCAGAATAGAACAGAGCCGCTAGAGAAGCCGATTGTTACTGACAGGATTTTGCAATTAGCTGCTGTAAAGGCTTACTAAGAACTGAAGTGGTCCGTAGATGATGAAGGAATGCGCGATTTCTCAAGACTTCAAGGTCGTCTTTTGCGGTAGAAGAGTGAATTGTAGTGCATGCTTTTGTACGTACTTATCTCAATTCTTTCCAGTCTGGCCTTTGCCTTCTTTGCCATAACACTTTTCCGATGTTGGATACTACCCCGTCCTCCTGTCTTCGTACGTTAGAAGTCCTCAATAACAAGAAGGTTCTGGTCACTATTCTTGGATAATATAATAGCAACGGAAGTATCGCGGAGGCAGCAATAACTTAACAACATACTTCTCTCCTCTCTATTCAACATTCCATGACTCTAAATACAAATAACGAAAGTGCATTAGAGCTGGTGAACTGAGACAAAGGCACGCGCTGTTTCATCCAATCAGTGCGGTGCCATTAGGAACTTAGCATCGAAGTGTGCGGCCTTTACTTCTCAGCCTTCTCACCTCGAAGGCATTTTGTCCAATTCTTATTCTTCGATATCTCTTTGGCCTTGTCTAACTGCTGCGCACGAGACCACTTCGACTCACCTGGGCGCTTCAGATTGGGTTTTCGACCATTGGAGAAGAATTTTGTCGCACGGGCAGCTGCTCCGACTGTTTTGGAAATTGCCTTAGCCATGGATATAACAGCACTGACAGCCGACCTGAACAGGTTGGCAATGGCGTTAATAAAGTTTCGTTTGTCAGTGGATGGGCTCTCTTGCGGTGAAGTGGTGTCGATATTGGTGGAGTCGTCTCTTTTCTCCATAGATCGCTTTGCTTGCTCAGCAGCCGCGTCGCCAACCTCCAGGAATCCTTTTGCGAACTCTTCTTGGAGGATATCGCTCTCATCGTCAGGCACTGCGTTGTCCAGCCACTCGTCGTCGATATCAGAACCAGGCCATACTTCAAGCATATCCCCATTGATGCTGTCCAGCAAGTCCAATGAGAAGCCGCCGTCAGCCATCTCAAGCATAGCCTCCGTACCAATGGCAGCGGCAGCAAGAGGAAGACATACAGCCATACGGCGAAATTTCTTCTGATTTCTTTCAGATCGTCTCTGTTTGTCCTTTTCCTCCCATTCCTTGTTCTTTTCTTCTTTCTTTTTCTCCAGGCGCTCTTTGATCAGTTCCTTGAACTTCTCAAACTTCTCCTTGATCTTCTCTTTGATCTTATCTTCGTAGGTTTTCTTCTTGTCCTCCTCACTCACATCGTTGTCTCTGACGCAAACTGTCTTCGTGGGATCCGACTTCATGAGCGGTGGGCACTTGATGCATTTGGTTGGGTCGGACGGGTCTCGAATCTTGTTCTTCTTACATCGAGCCTTTCTTTCACAGCTCTCTCCATCTCCCGCTTGTCTGGTAACTAAGGGAAATCGAATATCGCGGCCCAGCATGGACTCTGGCTGTGAGATATCGAGATCGGATGCCGTACTCCTATGGATACGTTGCGAAGATACAGTGGCTTCGCTGGGGATATACGCGGCGATTAAATGATTCGTTAAGAGGAGTAGATATTTGATGGTCTTTGCAACATGCATGATGAGGGGTTGGCAATGAAGTTAGCAGTAATATAAAGGTAGGTTTTGATTTGGACTGAGAAGGACTCACGTCGATGGCTTTCTTATCAATGTAAGCTGCCAACATTTCTGATTCTGTGACTTCTTGCGCAGGGGTAATCTAATTTGAGTGACGAAACGGTTGAGATACGTGGCGTATTCTACAACTGATCATCTGAAAGGTATGGGGCTGTATCGGATGGCTCAACCTCTTCGCACGCAATACGTCGCCTCAACTGTTGGCGAGGCCACCCTATTCTCTGCTAAGACATCCTGCGACATGATGCACACTGTGATGAAAGCGACGCTGGGGCGGGTGAGCCTAACACAGCGAATACTGCCTTCAAGAGGCACGGATTCTGCCCTGTGTAGAAACCTGTGAGGTGAGAGCTGCCTGGTGTAATAGCCCCCAACCCACATAACCTGGCCGGGACCTCTGTGGCACCGCTGTGCAACCAAACTTCTCGGCCTGCTTCACGCCCCATCTTACATACATATTTTCGAGATCAAACGGTGCTGCTTGACAGTCTCGGAGTTTCAAACTTGCTGTATCGAGCGCTACATGCTTACAGTCGATCAAGGAAGAATTCTTCGCTTGTCTGGTTGCCGACACGGAAGACATCCGATTCACCATCTGATCACATTGGGGAAGTCTTGCTAGATTCAATATATAGACAGGGAGCTTTTGGTTACTAAGAGCTCATCCGCGTATACTTTGATATGCGGCGTTACATTGAAGCGAAAGATCGTTACACGAAGAAAGGTGTCTAATTATGTTGCTACATTTGCAGCTATAACCACCTGGCATGTTGACTTCATGATCAAGCTTGCAGAAATCATTTCGCGCAGAAACTGATGCATGTAGATTGCCAGCTGAACTAAACAAACACCTTTCAAACTCAATCTTAGCAAATGATTGCACACTCATTCACTTCAGCTCCGGAGCTTCCATGCCATCGACCGACCACAGATCCCAAACCTCATAACTCCCATAGTTCCCCACGAGGCAGCCATCGTCGCCATACGCCAAGATATCCGAGGGCTTGCAGTCGTCGCCATTGAAGAGGACGACAACGGAGCCAAAATCTTTGTCACCTTCACCTCCGGCTTCTTCAGTTTCATTATGTTCGATAACGATGGCTGCAGCTACCCCAGCATTGTCACGGTTGCAGCCAGTGCTGGCATCAACATCTCTCCAGCCAAGGTTGGCACCGCGGCAACCCCCAGATTGACTATATGCCAGCGCCAAAAGTCAGTAGTTGTCACACATGTGAAGTATAGAAGGTGATGACTTGCTAGTGATGAAGACGATAAGCGTTGGCTATGCAGACCAAGTGCTGGAGGAGGAAGAACGTCTTCATGTTCGCAGTGAGTGCATATGTGAAAGAAGTGTAAGAGTCGTCTTTAGTTGCGATGATCTTTACAGGGAGGATGGGCGGTCGTTTCTCGTTTGATGCCTGCTCAAGAGGAAATTTGGGCTGTGAAGATTCTTGAGAGATCTCAAGGTACGTATGTAGTCCCCAGAACAAAAGGCTTGGGTAACATCGCGTGGCTCGTAGAGCCCACGTGGTTAAATTTGGCAAGAAGTTAGACATGGCATCTATTTGAGAGCATCCCTGTAACTCATTAGTATGCACGTATCGTGGGGTTTGGATCGGAAATGAGTATCCGAAGAGACCGCACCGCCTTCAGCTCAAGCGTTTGGCCCGTGGGGGCACTTTTCATAACCGTGGGCTGGCCTCATGGCTCTCCCGCGGCCCCCATCTTACTCTTGCGCCAGAGCGTTTCGAAACTTCACGTCTTGGCTTCTTACGAGATCTCCATACATGCATTGGGAACATCCTACGTAGATAGTTTGTGCCACCTTCATATCAGCAATTACAAATCTTGACCCCTGGAGGTACTGCGTATAGTCCTAGGACCGTGTACTGACTCTGTGCCACTCTATCGCCCCCATTCTGTGCTTTTGTCAGGAATTCTGAAAAGCCGTGCCTCAGCTTCTTATGGAAACTTCATGCATGCAGTGGGAAGTTTCGTATCATCATCCGAAACGTGAGGCTGAACTCTTTTTGGTCTTATTGAAGAACATGTGTCGGCGGCTCCTCATACATGCTGACCAATCTTGGCATATCTTCAATACTGAGTAACCGTCTTTCAACGACAGTGCCTCACAATGCATCCTATTTTTTCGGAACAGGACTTTTGAGTGTCTACAGAATCCATGCTGCCAATTTGGTCGATGAAACAAGCGTATACCGATACGGCCCCAGGGTGTTATGCTACCTAGCATATCTCTTGTTCGCCAGAATGGAGAAGCGGAATCGAAAGCAGGAATTGGCCGACTGCTTGACCTATCTGAAGTTCAATGACAGGAACAAGTAACCAAATTAATAACATGGGATGAAATCAATGACTAGGTACAATGTAAATGCCATGTAGTTTGCAAACGCGTAGGAAAATAGCATGCCTACTCTTCGACAGCACCCAGCTCTACCACTAAACTCCTGAAGGGCTTGAATTCCTCTGGCATGTTTTTGTATGGGTCTTCGACATAATAGCGCCGAAGCTTTGCCCCATGCTCCGCAAGGTATCGGATCATTACGTCAGATTTGGCGTACATAGCCGTCGCTAGTGCTGGTAGTGGGGCGGCTCGATGCTCACGGATATCCGTGTTCCAGTCAGTGACATCTTCGTTGACATCTGCTCCTGCTTCTAGCAACATCTTCACAGTTTCCAGGTCGTGGTTCTCGACTGCTAGCTGCAGTGTCCCCGAGTCTCTGAACCAGTCGATTCCAAAGTGGTTCAACAGAACTCGAAACGTTGCCGCTCCCGGCCATGGCTCCTTGTGACATGACCAAAAGAGTCCTCGGCACCTGTTCACACTACCTCCATGGTCTATCCACCAGCGAGTGGCGTCAGGTCCCATGCGAACCATATCACTCCAGGTCGGATAGCGGTTCAACTGCTGTGGGTTGGTGCGCCATTTGCAAAAGTCCAAGTCGAACAAGACATCGAGCCATTCCATACTGGGGTCGCTTCTGGAACGCCAGCCTAGAAAATAGATGGAGTCGAAGTAGTCGGGCGAAAAGCCGATCTCGAAACAGAAACGGAGTAGTTGGGTGTCGCCTCTTTCTGATGAGATACTCGTGAGAGGGCGGAGATAGTATATTGGGTCTATGCCAGAAGATTCAAGGAGTTTTCTGATGGCAAGGACGTCGCCTTGGAATCCACTCAGGAAGATCGAAAGGATGATGGTTGTATCTAGGAACTCGTGTAAGCAGTGAGACCCAGAGCCGGTCATTCCGCATTTTGATCACACTTACCATCGTCCGTGGGTGGTTCATAGTTCTCGCTGAGCAGTAGATCTCGTACTTCGCACTCGAAGCCGCTCGGGAGCTGCCATGGCTTTTTGTCGGCAGACTCTACCGTGTGTTTGTGATGCTTGTAGTAGGCCACAATGTGCCGCAAACATTCTTCCAACGTTCCCTCGCCACTCAGTCTCGCATCGCGCGCTTCGCTAAAGCTGGAGAGATTCGTTGGCATTGCGATCGTTGTCAGCGATAAGGCTGACTATGATGCCTAGGTATGTGAGGAACGCGAACCTTGGAAGTGAAACAAATTCAGGGCTGGTCGGACCACAGAAGGTAGTCAGAGGATGGGATAGAGAGCGACGAAGATCTGTGTACTGTGAGCGCAGACGGGTACTCAGGAGCTGTACAGTTGATGATTGTGAGAGGTGTGCGGGCGGATATTAACCTGAGGGTGGCACAGTGACGCTAGTGGATTCATAGCTAGCGGCGTACACCTACAGGGGCTTATTCGACATTTGTAGATCGGCTTGATGTTGCCTACAATGCCAAGGGTGGCGCATCCCAACCTTGGAGGACATAATGAGCCCAGGCGGACTCAAGGCAACGACGTTCTATCTATGTTACTACCCGATGCACGGAGGAGGCGTAGCGCGCAAGAATTTAGGGAGACAGAAGACGGCGATTCCAGCCCCAAATCCCGATGTTTCAAGAATCATGTGTGTGACGCCTCAAGGTCGCGTCTCTTGGTGAGCATTGGGGGCTGTAGGACTTTCCGATACCTCCCTAGGTAGGTAGGATGTGTTGAATTTTCTTGAGATGTCGCCATGTGCCACGGGGCACATGCCTGCCTTTGTTTCAACGTGTGATTGCAAGGCAGATAGTCGAACTGGAGTTCCTGTACTATCAAGATACCGTGGCTAAAGATATCGACACAAGTCTCGCTGAAATTCTTGCTGAGAACTAGGTATATCTTCTCTCAACCGCCATCAGCATTGGGTAAACGTACACTGAACGAACACATGTCGCCTGGACTGTGTCATTTCATGCGTTATTGCGTATATTTTCATTGTGCCATCGCTACCACGAGATGAAGTCCACGTGGCTCACTGTCCTGTGCTGGACTTACATCCGGCTGTCCACATCTTTCCCTGTCGATGACAGACCCGCATTTACACCATGGGATCTGGCGAAAAGAGAGATCGAAGCAGCTATCTTCTCCAACCCTCTGGGACCCCAATTTGGAGTACCCGATGAGACGTGTCGTGGCACGCTGGAGGGCGACAATACCGGTAGTTGCTGGAAGATGGCAGATGTCACAGTTGATGTGAGTATTTTTACCCACTGAATCTGTCCAATCCAGTTGCTAACTTGCCTAGAAATTCATCGCAAACCGAAAGCCCGAGGCCAACCAATGCCAGGTGCCCTGCCTTTTCTACACCTCGAAACTCACGGGAGCAGCAGAAAGGCTGGCTAATTTTGTTCTGAAGGAGGTACTTTTGACGGGGGCTACGGAAGGACCGCGCAAGTACCAAACTATCTGGGTACGCCTCCCTAAGTAGAGTACGACCACGCGAGGATGCTAACTACTCACAGGAACTACATCCGCCAAAATTCTATCCAAACAAGAATGACCTGGACAAGACCCCCGAAGCCAAATGCATCTACCAGGACTGGAAGAAAGATGATTATGACAAGAAGGTCGATGGTTGCCAACGGCTATACTTCAAGTCAATGTCGAAGGCCATGGCAATGGAGTGCAAAGGCGAGGTCTTCCTGATGACCAATGCAGATCTGAGCAAGGAAAAAGAAAAAGTCCCAGAGGATGGAATTTGGTGGCAGGTCGAGTTTCCGACACTGATCGATGATGCTCGACCCGCGGACAAGAAAATTACAAAAGTCAGTCCAGAGCCACGCATTGATACCGCTTCATGGATGTTTAGGTTAACAGTTCCTCTAGATCAGTTATCTTCAAGTACCTGCAGTTGATCTTGACACGCTATCTGCAGAAGAGAGAAGCAGGCCCCCCGAGATTATGGCGAGGGGGGAGTATTGGCCTAATGGAGTTGGTAACGAGCATTTGCAAAGCTTTCGCGACGAACAAAGTCCGCAATCGACGCCGAATCCACAACCAACGCCAACTCCCACTCCAGAGGCAGCCAATCCGGTGGAGACCCCTCCCAGCGGTCTTTTCAGGAGGGAAGACGTCCTTGAATCCAGTGACGAAGAATATCCTTACTTTTACCCTATCGATGATATCTACGACTGGTACAAGGAAGCAACCTGGTAGAGGCCGGGAAAGGAAGACAGACAAGAAGATCAAGGTCGGTTCAGGAAGAATAGAGTGCGCCTTTGACTCAGACTGCGGTCTGATTCTGGTTCGGGCTGGTCATTGAGATTGAACTTTGGTATACGGTATGATTGCGATAGCTTTGATGTTCAAGGTCGGTTTGCTGGAAGGCCGCAACACTATAACAATTCGCAGGGTTTCTTTTACCTTGAGTGGTATTTTGCGATGTATCTAGACTTTGCACATATCTTTCTCAACTGGCGTTTAGTGGTACGTAAATGGATTCGATGTCTGCAATTCGCTCAGAACGCCATCTTAAATCCGGCTCGGCCTATCACATTGCACGTTGGCGCGCACCGCCACAATCGCCACGTCTACATCTATAAATGACAACCGACTGAGTGGGCGATGCGAGCATTTACGTGTCTAGCCCACCGCGTATAGCGGCCATAGTCGCTGGGCGGCCGAATCAAGCCTCCAGTATTTGCCCGACGTACGACGAGTCGGGGCGATATGGCTGACGTTGCGGGGTGAACGGAGGCTTAGCTTGGGGGGTACACGTGTTGCACCAATTATAAGTAGGCGTGCCAGCAGTATCAACACCAATATGGTAGTAATATCTTTCGTGATAGCGATTCCTATTTCTTCTCTTTCGACATACACCAAGCTTTCCAGAAAGACTTGAATTCTTGGATCTCCACTCACAATGCCAAACGTTCGAATCGGCCCGACACATGAAGGCCATGCTCAAGGATGCATGTTCTGGTCGCCTGCAGGAGAAGGGTCATGCGTGCGAAAAGCAAGAACAGTTCGTCGGAAGGGCATTGTTGAAGATTGTAACGAATACCCGGTGGTTGTGATCTCGAGACGAGCGGAGGAGAATTACATGGTGTACCCGAATCCGGACACCCCGAGCACACGCCCTTTTCGACTTGACCAACGTTTGATAATACCAATTTCGGCAAAGGGTCAAAATGAGGATGAGCAAGAGCGTAGTACTGGAGACCTGAACCTCGAGCGCATAGTCACGTCGACACAATCCGCGCGGAGCGTTGGTGCTGGGAAGGACGTAGCTCCGGAAAGAGCCTCGAAGAAGTCGTATGAGCATTCCAGAGTTCTCCATTCTCCTCCGCTGGATCTCGAGGTGTCAGGCGTTGAAGACTATGCTAGACGACCTGAAAAATCATCGCCAGATACCGCAGCAAATACGGCAGCGCGCACCTCTATCATTTGCGATGTATGGTTGTCGATCGACCATATACTAAAGCACGTCGCGGCGGGATTCGAAGAAAAGACGATGTCTAAAAAGATTGTTATGAGGCGTCCATTGGCCCGGTTCTGGGTCGATGCAAAAGGTGTGATGGCTGTAGCTATCGCTTCGATGTAGAAAATCGGAGCTGCTGCTTAAAGATGAAGTGTCCTTTTCACAAGCCAGACTGTTGGTGAGCTTGAATCCAAGCAATAGCGTTACACACACGGTCTAGTGCTATTGGTCGCCTGTTGGTATCTTTTAGGTCTTCCCTGTAGGATTTGAGCAACTGGTAGGACGCCGAAAGCTCCTCGTAACGCAGCGCCAGAACTGTACGTATGAATATCCATAGCGACTCTTGTTCAGAGTCAAGGTTTATTACATAGTTCAGTATATCGCCCACTAGCTCTCGCTGTAACGATGTGGCTATGATAGACATCAAATGTAGCAAGAAAGACCAACCAGAGATATCGCTTGGGTGTCTGCAGCACCAGTCCTTGACGCTGCGGGCGATATGGTCAACCACCTCGCTGCTCTCAAGCTTAGGTACTAGCCTACGAGCATACTGCCAGGCGTGGTAGTTCTTTGGATGTTGCTCTCCAGATTTGTAAATAGCAGCGAATTCGCTCTCCCAAAACGTTGCTATGTGCTCTCGTGGCGCATTCCTCAGCTCTATGAGTCTCAAAGAATCCACGATGCTGAATCGGTGGTACCACAAGGTCGGTGACTTGGACTGACGATGAAGTGGAGATGTAAGAATGCTGTTCAGAAAGCACAGCTCTTGTCGCAATGCCTCATGGTATGGAGTTCCAACGCGAAGACCGTAGTCTTCTTTCAGCTGAAACAAGATGCTTTTTCGATAGTTTGCTGCAGTAAGATGCTCTGGGTCGAACAGAAGCATGACCTTTGTCGCTTGCAATGTCTGTGCAGTTGTGAGTGCGTCCTGTGCCTCGCTATGCTTGAAGAATTGTTGGCGGGCTTCCAGGTAAGCTAAGGCGAGTATTTTCTTTGGGAATCCCAAACTCAGTCCGTCTTGCATGGTAATGCCATCCGGTGGCTGTATAGCGGGAGGTAGAATCTCGATCTGGATAACTTCATCCGCGTGCTCCTGGAAGTACTCGCTCAACGAAGCAAAAGCCAGCTTCTGGAGCTCCTCTTGCTGCCCGCGTTTGGTCGTCATGGCGGAAGATCCGGTCGCAACGGCTTTATGGGTTCAAAGTGAAAGCTGCCCAGGCGTCGCACAAGAACCCTGCGCACGACCCCACCGCGTTAGCTTGCAGCTCCCAAAATCACCACTATGACATAACCCTTGACACTCCAACACGATGCAGTGAGAACACGCTACACCGCGACACTGGTCCCCGCCCCCCAACATGCCGTCTCTTCTCCTGGTCGTCTTCACCCTGCAGCTGTTGCTCCACATCATCAATACCGTGGGCGCATCGACTGTCAACGAGCTGGTAAGCCCCGCACCCAGACACAAACACGCAGGAACCTCGGACTGACACATTGCAGCTATGGATCCTCTACAATAAGCTGCCGACGCCTACATCTGGGTCTGCGCAGAGATGCCAGGCCCTCAAAAAGGACATCGTGCGCTTGAAGCGCGAGCTGGGCAACACGTCGCCTCAGGACAACTTCTCAAAATGGGCCAAGCTCGACAGGCAACACAACAAGGCTATGGCTGAGTTTCAGAAGCTGGGTAAGTGCTCCTGCGCGTAGACGCTCCCACCGGCCCCGTCAAGTGTACATGCTGACGCTCTTTTCTCCAGATGGTTCCCTGCGCTCGCACCAGTCTACCTTCACGTCCGCCGTCTCGACCCTACGCTGGCTCGCCACGCAAGGTCTTCGTTTTGTCCTGCAGTTCTGGTTCTCCAAGTCGCCTATGTTCTGGGTGCCCGCCGGGTGGGTGCCATACTACGTCGAGTGGGTGCTGAGTTTCCCGCGCGCACCTCTGGGAAGCGTGAGCATAAACATATGGGGTATCGCATGCGCAAGTATGATCGCGCTAGCAGCAGAGGCAGTAGCTGCGGTTTGGGTACTGGTTATGCGCAGACCGACGCCTGTGGCGGCAGAGAAGCAGCGCGAGAAGCACGAGGCTATGGCCTTTGGCGCGGACCAGAAGCCTGCAGAGAAGAAGGAACTGTGAGCGCGTTACGTGTCCGATTCTGAATGTACACTTCATACAACTTCAAATTAAGTGAAATTCAATATGTCTCCCAACAAAAGACGCAAAGTCGTCGTGGCTTTCGCTCAGACACTGCAACACGAGTGGGATGATCTTGGCAGATCTTTTGGCTTCTTCTAGGCTACAAATTGAACTCGTGATCGTGGAGAGTAGCGTATCACCGAGTCTTCGAAAGAGCCATCTACTAATCTAGATTCCTTGACTAACAAAATAAAAAGAACGAAGCGGTGCACGGCAGCTGGCATAAAGCTGCATCGTCCGACCGCATGCGTGTAATATAGTTGAGAGCGAAGGATTTTGTTTGGTGTGGAATCGTCGCTCCGGAAGCTTGAGAGGGACAAAAGTGAAAATTTCGCGCTAACATCTCACGGCCCGACAGTTCCTCCGAGTCGCGCTTACCATATTTGGACTACCGTACGTCTCGTTGGCGCGTTTAGACAATGTGAAGAGCTTCATGACCTCGTGGAATGAGGATATCCTGCGTCTACAAGTTAAAGATTACTACATTCTAGGCTAGAAGGTCTAACGAGATATTTGTCTATAGCTAGTTCTCCCAATCGCTGCCTCGCACTAGGTCACGTGCGTCTAGACCGCGCCCGAGGTCCAGGGCTGACCGGCTTGAAAATATCGCAGCGTACATCTGCCGTGTCTCGCATGTCGTCGATCGTGCCTTACATGAACATGATCGACTATTTTGGCCGTTGATCACCACCATTCAATAGCATGCATCCTGGTTTAGCTCGGTCAGCTACTGTGTGGTCGCTTGGAATGCAACACGGAGCGGAGACGGGTGTCACCTCGTGTTGTGCTGCTGGCCTGATCGTACCCATGTAGAAAATTCTGCCGAAAACGAAGTGAGCCAGCCTCCGACTCATTGTCGTCGTGTTTCGATGCCCTTTGACAAGGCCAAGCGAGGAGAGCCGCCAAAGTCCAATAATGAGGCTCTACCGCATCTCTGTAGGTCTGTGCACGTCTTCCCCATATCCGCATGAATGGTTCAGCGCTCGCCGGTTCCAGGCCGATCGAAAACTGGCTGCCGTGTGTGGACGAGAGTTCCCCGCAATGTGGGATAAGATTGTTAGGTGCAGTGATCGCTCGAGGGTTGCGCACCTCGTTCTGCTTACGTGCACAGGGCTTCAGTAGGGTTTGCAGAGGCGTAGACGGCGTCTGGGGAAGCATGATCGCGGCTGGTTTCTCGAGTCAAGTGCGTACTGGCGTCCCCCTAACCTCGCTGGTTTCATGCTGCGGCCGCAAACAAACTTCGTCGACATGATGGCGGCCGCTGTTGCATGTGCCATCTGTCGCGTCCAATGCTTTCACCCGCTGCATCTAAAGCTGTTCACACAAGGCGACACCCGAGAAGCTTTGAGACTCGAGCGCACGAGAGCCATGGCCCACGGACAAGAACTGGCTCCGTGACCGGCCAAACGGCGCCCAGTGGCAGCGCCGGCATTTCGGTGAGATTGTACCGGGACAGGCGCTGTGACGAAATGGCGTTTCTCTCCCCACACGGTGGACAAGTGCTCCTCCCAATGACGTTTCGAGGATTCAGACGCCGGCTTAAGGCCGTCTAATGCGTTTACAAGTCGCGCATTTAGCGATGCGCACTCCACTTTGCTCGCCGCTGCTCAACCGTCCGCCTTTCCTGGGGTCGATAGTCCCTTCACCGCATCGACCCGCGTGGCCCTGCACACTGTTCGACTCGACGCAACCGTCTCCTACACCACCCGTTGTCGGCGCACTGCCCATCGCTTCTTCCCAGACCACACCCATCGCCCGTATACGACCCGTCGACGAGGCTGGCGCCAGAGAATGCCGTGGCCTGAATATCAGATCCCGAGACGACCGCGCCCGCGATAGAACCAACGCTCTCCGTAAACAATAGCCCTGTCCTCCTCTATGGCATCGATTTACACGTTATAGCGCGGCGCACGACATGACGGATCTTGACTTCACCAATGGCGACTTTCCTACCAGAGGACCCGTGGTACTGGGGGTTTCGGCTGCGACGCTTGCCATATGCTCCGTCTTCGTTGGCTTTCGTCTCATCTCCCGATTTCTCGTCGTGAGAAAGCCGGGATGGGACGACTACACAATGATCCTGGCCTGGGTCCTCGCGTTTGGCGCATCCTTCTCGATATGCTACGGCACCACCAAAGGCCTGGGGCGGAAGCAGGAGAACATACCCGCTCAGTGGCAGGAGCCCATGAAGAAGTCGTCCTTTGTCTTCTCGGTACTCTACGTATGTACAACACCTTGTATACAGAAGCCGCCAGCACTAAATCCCCACAGAATCCAGCTTTGATGGCCACCAAAACCTCAATCCTCCTCTTCTACCTAACGCTGTCCAAGACACACAAAGTATTCCGATGGGCCACCATTGCCACCCTTGTCGTCGTCAATGTCGGCGGGCTCGCTCTGACAATCCTGAATCTATTTCAGTGTCGTCCTGTCGGCGCCGCTTGGGCTTCTCCCGTTCCCGACACTGCTCACTGCACCAACATCGTCACGATATATCTATCCTCGGCACCGCTCAACATCATCACCGACATAGCCATTCTATTCCTGCCCATGCCGATACTCACTAGCATGCGACTACCGAGGAAGCAGAAGGTAATCCTCGTCATTACTTTCGGTTTCGGTATCTTTGTCGCAGTCGTCGATGTCATTCGTATTGCATATCTGCAAGATGCTCAGCGCAATACTCTTGAAGCCGCTCAACGACAGTCTTCTGAAAGTGGCAATGAGCAGAGGAATACTGGCGATTTTGCGTGGTTCTCATCTCTATCATTTATGTGGAGCACCGTGGAGATCAATCTGGGCATCATGTGTGGATGCGTTCCCGCCCTGAAACCCTTAGTCAAGAGGTTCCTCCCTAGCTGGATCATCGACCATACTATGCGCGACAACACTACACACACAAGCGATGAGGCTGTACTCCATCCCGATATCCTCGATTCTCGGCGGCGCTCAGACCCCTTAACGCCTCCCGCCTCTCCACTCAGCAAACCGCCTCTCGCTCGTAGGAGCGGTAGTGATGAGCCTATGGGTATGATGGACTTCTTGACCACGCCTGACATGACGGACTTGCCCCAACTGAGACCGACCAACACCACTGTTACCTACGCTACCACCACCCGCACCCAGCGCCAACCAACATTTTTCGACTTCGTCAACACTGGGCAGAAAAAGAACATTACTCTTCGGAGCAACCGTGAAAGTGTATATCCGGTGATAATGGTAACCATACTGTTCTTCATCTGGGGGTTTGCCTATGGTTTCCTGGACGTACTCAATTCGCGCTTTCAAGAAGTAGCTCGCACGAGCGAGTGGGAGACGGTCGGACAGCATAGTGCCTACTATGTTGGCTATATCGTGGGACCTTTGACTTTTGGACGGATCGTCTTTAAGGCTTGGGGGTTCAAGGCATGCTATATGGTCGGTCTCTCGGTCTATGCCTGCGGAACCCTCGTCTTCTGGCCCTCTGCTGTGCTCAACTCCTTTCCAGCGTTCCTGATCTCAAACTTCATTACCGGTGCAGGCCTCTCGACACTGGAACTTGGCGCAAACCCATTCATAGCACTATGTGGACCACCTGAGTATGCGGAAGTGCGATTGAACCTTTCGCAGGCTGTTCAGGCTGTCGGCACCATTGTTTCCCCGCTTTTGGCGAAAAAAGTACTCTTTCCCGCCAACGCTGCCAGTCTCATTGATGTGCAGTGGACATACCTCGGCATATCTCTCTTCAACATCGCCCTTGCAATCATATACTTCTACGTACCGCTGCCTGAAGCTACCGACGAAGAGCTAGAGCTGGCCAGTCAACGTACTGTGCCCTTTGCCCGCGAGGCCACCATCAAGATTGGGTCCAAGCCAGTCAAAGTTCTTTGGATTGGTCTGGGTATGGCGGTCTTGTCCCAATTCTGTTACGTCGGCGGCCAAGAGTCCACCTCCACTTCATATAAGGAGTACCTCAATCGCGTCGCGCCCTCCGTGGATTCTGTGTCACAGCAGGCCTATGGACACACTGCATTCGCAGTGTCTCGATTTCTGGCAGCCTTCATTGACATTTGGGTGAAACCGCGTTTTAGTCTCATGGTCTTCTACCTAGGCGCAATTGCCTCTGCTGCCGCAGCCATGCATGCTTCTGGCAGTGCTGGTGCAGCCATCATTGTCATTGTCATGTTCTTTGAAGGCCCGCTTTTCCCGCAGATCTTCGCACAAGGGATACGGGGTATGGGCAAGCACACCAAAGACGCTTCCGTACTTCTGACAGCAGCTATTGGCGGAG